TGAATCATATTCTATAATTAGTGACATTATGTGGCAAATTAGTATTTTAATTAAATATATTTTAATTATCCAAAGATAATGGTTATATTTAATTGATAAACATTTTTGCATATTAATGTTTTGGTATTTGCTTATGATGAGTATATTGTAGTATCTACCCAAAGGAGTGCTACTTTGTGCTTGTATGATTTTATTTGAATCACATTTATGATTATTCATGAGCTTTTGTGTATGTTATTTAAATTGCAGCTTTTTCCATGAATTCATAAGCTTCATCTGTTACTCTGTTTGTTGGTGAGAATTTCTCAGATTGGTGTGAACAAGTCAATTTTCATTTAGGTGTTATGCATCTTGACTTGGCACTCCTTGAGAATGAATCCACTGCTATTACTGAAACTAGTAGTGAGGAAGAGAAATCTCACCATAAGGCATGGAATCGAAGTAACAGGTTGAGCCTTATGTTCATTAAGATGAATGTTTCCAACAACTTGTAAGGATTCGTTAAGATCCGAACTATAAATCCAAATGAAGATTGTTTTCTCTTTATGGGAAACAGAAAGAAATCTTCGATTGAAGGCATAGGGACTTATCGTCTAGTCTTAGATAGTGGCTCTCATTTAGACCTATTGCGCATCCTTTATGTACCTTCATTATCTAGGAACCTTATTTCAGTTTCTATGTTGGATGTTAATGGTTTTAAACTTATGTTTGGATCTTGTTATTTCAATTTATATAAGAATACTGATGTTGTTGGTTCTAGTATTCTGATTGATGATTTATATAGATTGAGATTGAATGAGTCTTATGCTGAATCACTGCTTAATGTTGTTTATAATGTTGGATTTAAGCGTAACATAGAGAATTAGAATTCTGCTTTCTTGTGGCATAGAAGATTGGGTCATGTATCCAAAGAAAGAATAATGAGATTGGTTAAGAATGATATTTTGCCAAATTTAGATTTTACTGATCTTGAATTATGTGTGGATTGCATTAAGGGAAAGCAAACCAAACATAATAAGAAAGATGCCACGAGAAGCACCCAGCTTCTAGAGATTATAACATTGATATTTGTGGACCTATGGACACTCCGACTTTTAATGGGGAAAAATATTTCATTACCTTTATTGATGATTTTTCACGTTATGGCTACGTCTATTTGCTTCATGAAAAATCTCAATCAGTGAATGTCCTAGAGACATTCGTTAAGGAGGTTGAGAGGCAGTTAGATAAAAAGGTGAAAATCGTAAGGTCAGATAGAGGTGGTGAATATTACGGTAAATATAATGAGTTAGGACAATGTCCAGGTCCATTTGGAAAATTCCTCAAATAGCATGGCATATGTGCACAATATATTACACCAGGCACACCACAACAAAATGATGTGGCAGAAAGACGTAACTGGACATTAATTGATATGGTCAGGAGCATGATAAGTAACTCCTCATTACCAAAAAAATAAATTATGGACTTATGCGCTTAAAAGTGCGACCTACTTGCTGAATAGGATTCTTAATAAGGCAGTTCAAAAGACTCTTTTTGAATTGTGGACATGAAGGAAACCTAGCTTAAGGCACCTGTATGTTTGGGGTTGCCCAACTGAAGCAAGGATTTATAATCCGCATGAATGGAAGTTAGACTCTCGAACGATTAGTGGATACTTTATTGGTTATCTTGAGAAGTCCAAAGGGTATGTATTTTATTGTCCGAACCACAGTTCGAGAATTATGGAAATTGGTAATGCAAGATTCATTGAGAATGGCGAAGTTAGTGGGAGTTCTAAAAGGGAAATTATGCAAATAAAGGAGACTAACGTAAATGTTTCATTGCCTATAATTGTTACTCCATCTATTAAATTCTCTAATGTTGTTCCAATTGTTGTAGAACAAGATGACAACACTGAACAACATTTGAATGAAGAAGTACTCCCAGCAGATGCTAACTTGTAGAATGCTAATGCACAAGAACCGCATGAAATAGAATTAAGAAGATCCCAAAAGGAATGTAGACCAGCTATTTTGAATGATTATGTGGTTTATCTGCAGAAGTCAGATTATAACATTGGAATCAATAAAGATCCAATTTCGTTTTAACAAGCCATAGATAGTATAGAATCCGATAAATGGATTGAAGCTATGAAAGAAGAGCTAAAATCCATGTATTATAATGATGTCTGGGATCTTGTCAAATTAGCTGAAGGTTCCAATGAGTCGATTGTAAGTGGGTCTTTAAGACGAAACGTGACTCTAATGATAATATTGAACGATATAAAGCTAGACTTGTTGCCAAGGGTTATACTAAGAAAGATGGCATTGATTATAAAGACACATTTTCACCTGTCTCAAAAAAGGATTAATTAAGGATAATTATGGCATTGGTGGCTCATTATGATTTAGAGCTACATCAAATGGATGTGAAAACAGCCTTTCTTAATGGTGACCTAGAGGAGGAAGTTTATATGGATCAACCTGAAGGTTTTTCCATGGAAAGTGAAAGAAAATTAGTGTGTAAACTCAAGAGGTCAATATATAGACTTAAGCAAACATCCCGACAATGGTATATCAAGTTCAATACCATTATTACATCTTTTGGATTTGAGGAAAACACCGTTGATTGGTGTATTTACCATAAGATCAGCGAGAGTAAGTTTGTTTTCTTAGTTCTTTATGTTGACGACATCTTACTTGCTACAAATGATTTGAGTATATTGCGAGAGACTAAAGATTTTTTCTCAAAGAATTTTGAAATGAAAGATATGGCAAATGCGTGCTATGTGATTTGAATTGAAATATTCCGTGATCGATCAAAAGGATTGTTGGGACTATCTCAGAAAGGATATATCGAGAAAATTCTAGAGAGATTTAATATGAGTAAATACTCACTTGGAGTTGTTCTTATACAGAAAGGTGATAAATTTAGTCTCATGCAATGTCCAAAGAATGATGTTGAACGAAAATAAATGGAATCAATTCCATATGCCTCTGTTGTGGGCAACTTAATGTATGCTCAAACTTGTACTCGGCCAGATATCAGTTTTGCGATCGGGATGTTGGGCAAATATCAAAGTAATCTAGGAATGGAACATTGGAAAGCTGCAAAGAAAGTTTTAAGATACCTTTAAGGCACGAAGGATCACATTTTCATGTACAAAAGGTCCAATGAATTAAAAGTAATTGGATATACTGATTTAGATTTTGGTGGATGTCTTGATAGTAGAAAGTCAATCTTTGGTTACTTGTTTATGTTTGCCCAAAGAGCCATATCATGGAAAAGTGCAAAACATACTATTGTTGTTTCATCCACTATGGAGGCCGAATTTGTGGCATGTTTTAAAGCCACAACTCATGCATTATGGCTGCGAAACTTTATTTCAGGGCTTGCGGTTGTCGACACCATTAGTAGGCCACTGAAAATTTACTGTGATAATTCTGCAGTAGTATTCTTCTCTAAGAACGAGAGATACTCTAAAGGTGCCAAACATATAGAGTTAAAATATTTTTCCGTTAAAGAGGAGGTTCAGAAATAAAGAGTGTCAATTATGCACATCAGAACTGAACACATGATGGCAGACCCTTTGATGAAAGGGTTACAACCAAAGCTATTTAAAGAATATGTTGAAAGTATGAGCCTTGGTTGTATTAAAGATTATTGATGTGTGACACTCTGAGCTCACCTATGTGTTTCTAACATACATTATGTTTCCTTGTTATTTTATGGTTGTATACACATTATGAATTTTGACAAGGAAATCTTTGTAAGACATTATGTGGACTATTATGTTTTCTATATTATGAATTTTATATGAAGGATTGTTGGTGTTGTAGTATATGGAAAGGAATGTACTGAATTAATAGCTCACTATCGCCATAACTCACACTTGACAATTTATCTTTCATGATGACTAACATTAGAGATGAACATGTATATTATGATTAATCAGGTCAAGTGGGAGAATGTTAGAAATATTAAGAGTCAATTATAATATCAAAAGAATTTTATTATAATTATAATATTAAGACTCTTGATATTACCCATTAAACGTTATATGACCCAATTAATTATTGATGCATTTAATCTCAATCAATAATTTGGTATATGATGGACGTACCAGATTATAAGTTATGAAAATATATATATTGGGGATGGTCTTCTCTCCTCTTCAACCCTAATATCATTCTCTCCATCATAATACATATCAAAGTAAAGAAGGCTTAAAAGAGAGAAACTACCCTAACACAATTGCTCACAAGATGATGACTATTGTTAACCCTTCATCATCGTTTCTGGATATGTCTTTATCTCTCATGTGTATGTGAAAATCAAGTATTCCCAAGATCTTTTATCATATTCTTATTTTATGATTTATGATCATGATATATGATGAGCAAACTAAAATATTGGGCAAAATTGTTTTAGTTCATCCTTTTCATATTTGGGAAATTTTCCCCACATTATATATACCTCCCTGCATGAAGAGTTATTTTCTATCTTCGTCCATTTTCTCCATTACCTCCCTTGGAATACAAGGAGGTCTATGCCCTCACATTTCTTCATTCCAAACTTCTACCTAATCCTCTATTTGAATTATAAACCATACTATCGCCTCCCTTAATTGCTCTAATTTAAGACACTTGACCCAGAGAGGAAAAGAGCTCCATTCTCTAGCCCTATTAAGTTCAATAACCATAGTCATATTTTATAACGTGACAAGCCATACAAATAAAGGGTTTTATACTTTTTATAATATATGAGATGAGCCTTTTCATATCATATTGACAAAAGTCATATGAAATTTATATATTAAAAAAAATTATATGTGAAACTCATCTCAATACAAAAATCAAAAAATGTTTAGGAAAATTTTTATTCTCTTAACAAGTATAAAACCAATAAACAAAAGCAATAATTTACTAGTTGGAGTTAGAAGGCTGACTCAGAAAGGAAAGCTGTATCCTGAAAAGTAATTTGTGTCCTCTATGGATTTGGCTATATGTACGAACGAAGGCTGAATCATCCATGACCGTGAATTGAAAATCGAAAATGGCCCTTTCAGATTTTACCCACACGCTCACAACTCACAAACAAGATTATACAGTATCTACTCAGCATCCCCCATCACCCACACATTAATTAAAACTCAACGACACCATACCACCCTTTCCAATTTCCAATTCCAAATCATCGCTGTTGCCATCAACCATAAAAAAAGTTATCAACTTTTGAATTTCCCAGCTCAAATTCACTTGTTTCGCTTATTGGGTCATCTCCGAGCTATGCGTGGAGCTGAAGGTGAAGCTGGTGGAGGTGGTTGTGCCGTCAGAGGCGGTAATATCTACTGGGGAAGAAAAGATGCCACTGATTTCAAAGGAATCGTTGTAATCTTTGCTTGGATTTCTGTTCCACACACCCTGTTACGAGATTTCGTTGATCTATACTCATCTTTGGGTTGGAATTCCCTTGTTTGTTATGCCAATTATCTCTCCGCGTAAGTTTTTTTTTTTTTTTTATATATGAATTCTTACCCCTTTGTTTTTGGGTCATAATTTTTCTTATCTATAGGGTCTTAGCCATTTTTTTTTTTTAATTTGATGTGGTTGTTTGTTGTTTGAGAATTGCTTTGATGGGTCATCAAATGGAATTAATGTATCAACAACCTGAAAAAATTGGTGGGCTTAGTATTACAGGAGGATGAAACACTGTAAAAATCAGAGCTTTCTTGCACAATTTGAACTGAAAAAGCTTGGCTGTTGTGTAGTATTTCTTGGTCATGGAAAGTATAATCATGTAATTTTTGGTTACTCGTGCGTGTGTTTGGTTCTTTGGGTTATCAATAAGAATCATTGCATTTCGGAGGTAAATTTAGTTCTTCTAATTAAAAGCTTTTGCGGCTTTATAATCTTGACATAGTTTTATTCTGGATGATTTTGAGGTTTCTGTTTCAAAATGTTATACCTCTGGGACAGAATAGTTGCCTTTTTTCTTGGGATCTATTTATTTTTCATTTTTCTATGAGCTAGAGAGAGGCATGCACATACATGTGGGGCTTTTTTTTTTTTTTTTTTTGGCATATTTACTTGATCTCAAGCTTGAGAGAAGACAGCTTTTATGAGCTGCATGTCATGTTTGCCTTACCATGTGGAATGATAGTATAAGTTTGGCTTGGATGATTCTTTACATGTGAAAGTAGCAGATTGGTATGTAGTGTCAAACATTTAATCGTATGTTGGCACCTTTTCTCAGAATTAGGTTTTCATCGTCCATTAATTATTTCTCTCCGGGTTGGGAGGAAGAAGAGAGATAATATTTATGATGTTGATAGATAGTTGGTGGAAACTATATGTTGACCTTCTTTATAACTTTAATTAGAGGGGACCATGTACTGAGAATAGAGTAAAAAGTTGTTCCAATTTTGAGTGGGCAAGCAATGTATATCTATCTTACACAGATTTACAAATCAAGAATATGGGTGGATTGGAGAGGTGTAATTATTGTTCTTATTGAATTCATACCACAGTTTAATGTTGAATCTTGTAAGGCAGCTATGGATTTAGCTGCAAATAAGGGAGGTTTGTGCTCCTATTTTGATACATAGGGAAATATCAGAGTTGTCTGAATATACATGTCCCTACATCTTACATGTGTCGGGAAGCTTTTATTTCTGGTTGAAGTGCTGTACAAAGTTCAAATTGTTTTACTTCAGGCACCAAAAAAAACAAAATAAGTAGTTCTACTTCCAGTTAGGTTAATGAGATTTATAACGGAAGGATTACTGTGATTTAAAAAGAAATGTCAGGACAGTAAAGCATCAAATATTACTAATATCCAGTAAGAATATATTAAGTACACTTGTATTAGGCCTAGTGTTGTATTATCCTAAATCCTTTTCTGCCAAAATACTTAAGATACATGCTCGAGTGATGACCTACTAAATAACTGTTGAGATATACTATTTTGTGTTTTTATTTTGTTGGTCGCAGGTCACCTCCTTATTATATTTGTACTCATCTTACCTTATTGGTTGGTTGCATAATACTGATGGAATTTTTATATCACAATTCTCCTCGCATGCAGATTCCACGATGAAAGTGCCATGCCATTGGCATTTTGTGTTCTTGATGAACTTATTGAGGTTAGTTTTAGAAATTGGAAAACATGCTAAGATTTATATTGATGCTCTTACATGTAAATTTAGAAATCTCTTAATAATGATGTGGCCACAAATATCTGGGTATCATTTCTTAGCTTTATGTCATAGGATTTAAGCAAAAAAATTCCTTGGAGTATGCAGGAGCTGACAACTAGGTCCTGTCCTGTCGTATTTGCTGCTTTTTCTGCTGGGTCAAAAGCCTGTCTGTACAAGGTATTTCAGGTAATTTTAGGCGTCCAATCTTATCTTTGGTATGGAGAATATTAAAGTTTGAAGTATTGTATGTCCTTTTGGAGTATAAATGCCCATTTTAATCGCTTTTACTATTAATGCAGCTTATTGATGGAAGATGTGAAGCTCCGCCCTACTTGGTAATGCACTTCTCCAATAAAAAAATTATGAATTCTGTCTTTGTTCAGTCTGTGCTTGTTTTCTTCTTTGATTGATGGTGTCTTCATCTTTATGATCATCTTGAAATTCACTAGTTATTGATTTATTTTTTGTAGCGTAAATATCAATTGCTTAGGAACTGTGTTTCTGGACACATATATGATTCTGGTCCGGTAGATGTTACAAGTGATTTTGGCTTCCGCTTTGCTCTACATCCTTCCATTGCAAAAGTGCCTGGACCATCAAAGCTTGTTTCTTGGGTAGCAAAGTCTGTTGCTTCTGGTTTAGATGCTTTATACCTAACTAGATTTGAATCCCTAGCTGCTGAACATTGGCATGCTTTATATTCTTCTGTTGTAAGTATCTCTCTTGACCACCTGGAATCTTAAGTATGTTTCTTTTTTTATTCTTGATTATTTTAAAATGACTCTGATTTCGTTTTTGTCTTTAGAATTTTGGAGCTCCATTTCTAATTTTCTGTTCTGAGAATGATGATCTTGTTCGATACCAAAGTATCTATGATTTTGCCCAACGTTTACGCAATCTCAATGGTGATGTCAACCTCGTAAATTTGAGTAGCTCCTCTCACGTCGGTTTGTCTGAGACCCATTTTAAACTATATTGGGGCAAACATAAACCTGTTTTACATGATTATTATTATTATCATTTGTTTCAGGTCATTACAAACATCATCCAATCCAATATAGAGCAGCAGTGAGCCATCTATTGGAGAAGGCTGCTTCAATATATTCGCAAAAAGTGATACTTGAACGAGAAAGAACTGGTATGGATGGTTCGCAGGATGAGATATCTGAGTTAATCTGTGACCTGCAAAAGGTGGCAATTAATTCAAATAAGAGCCTTAGAAGAGTTGCACTAGGGCCAACCGATCACTTCTTTTTGCCTAGTTCAGCGGGACATTACAATGATAGACAAACTGGGACTCCACAAGATGAACAGAAGGAAAAACCTGTTTGTCTGCCCAGCTCTCCAAGCATCAGTGCTCATAGTGTCCTTGGCCAATTTCTTTTTGATGTTTGTGTCCCTAAGAATGTTGAGGGTTGGGATGTGAAGTTTTCTGGGAATCTGAATGGGAGGTTGTGTGCTTCAGCTCCTAGGCATTCACCTTTCAGAGGGATTAAACGCATCGGTCGCTCCAGGTTATGAAGTTGTTCTTATATCTGACTTGGGGGGATAACTTGTTTGAAAATCAGAAATTTTCCAAGACATTACTGGAAAATATGATAGATTTTGGTGGAACAATGTGCCGCTATATCTGGCAGGGGAAGTGTAATGGTTGCAATGGTACAACTGTTAGTTACTCGGCACTTTGAGAATAGGAGGGATGATATGGATAAAAGGTTGCTTGAGTTCCATCCCATCTTAGATAATATTTTCAATGAACTTGTAGTACATATTATACCCACTTAAACCAAAAACACATCCATTCACTAAGATCATTTACAGTTATTTTCTTGACAACTTCTTCATAAATGCTGTTAGGTGAGTGGATGTGGGTTTAGTTTGTACTACAAGGAGTACGGAAAATATTTTCTGCGTCTGATTACCCTTAGGAATAAACGGGTGATCATGACTGTTGTCACCCCTAAAGTAGAGCTTAGTGGTTGATGCTTGGCTAGGGTAACCATTCACTGTAATGGCATGAAATGGGATATACTGTGTACTAAGGTATTTGTAACTGAAGGTTGGGCTAGCTGGTTATTATGAAAATAGCTGTAGCCTGTATATATTATTTATACACTTCTGAGGGAATAAAATATATCATGTTTTGAGGTTGGAAACTTGTTAATTATACATGTTTTGTTTGTTGATAGGAGTTTCGCATCCCGGGAACACTATTGTTTGGTGGAAAGTTAAGTATCTGGGTAGGAATGTTCATAAATGATTTAATCTAATTGATAAGAATATAACTGAAAAATTAAAAGTTGAATGAATTGAAAATTGAAAAAATTAAAAATTTGAAAAATTAAGGGCCTTGTTTGATTTTTGCATGTGAAAACAGTTATTTTTTTCTATCAAAAATTAAAATACAAAAAAAGGAATATAAGTTGAATATTTATTTTTTATTTGATTGCTTTACAACTTTATTTTTCATGATTTGTTTATGGGACAGGATATTGTGACAACCAAATAAAGTTACAACCAATGTTACTACCAATCAATCTCACCGTTAGATTGGTAGTAGCGATCTGACGGTCCTCATTGGTCTCTTAAATAGTCCCTCTATATTTGTTTCTCTCTCCCCCTTCTCTCTCTTCCCTTCTCTCTCTCACTATACACTCTGCCACCACTGTCGCTCTGCCTCCGTCACAGCCTCTGTCCAAGATGTCTATTGATTTTGGATCAATTGGCCTGACCCATACCAATTTTGAATGTGTTATTTGAATGTGTGCTTTGAAAGTTATTGCATTGAAAGTTTCGCAGCCTTGGATCGATTGGCCTGACCCATACCAATTATGAATGTGTTATTTGAATCTGTTATTCTCATATGTCTATTGAAACTTGAAACTTCAAGCCTGAGCATATACTTAATTAAAGAAATTTACATGGGGGGCAGATCATGGATAAAATCATTCCAGATTTCAGTTGCAATGGAGTCCCTTAACTGAGAATCAAATGCAATTTCTTCAGTATCAAAAGAAAGATCCAGTGATTCGAATCTGGTAAGTTGCAATGGAGTCCCTATAAAGAAGCGTAAGTTGCTTATGTTGCATGACCCCTTTTCCATCATGCCTTCTGGAACTAGATACGCGATAATTGATCTGCTCAAAAAATCGAATCTGTAAAAATCGAACCCTAGCTCGTGTATTCGACAAAGCTCTCCGCGGGATGCAGCGGCAGCACGGCGGCGGCGGCGGGACAGAGGCTATGGACAGCGGCGGCGGCGGCAGAGTATATATTGAGAGAGAGAGAATGGCAGAGTATATATTGGTTGTAACTTTATTTGGTTGTCACAATATCTTATCCCTTTGTTTATAGAATAGAAAATTGGAAGACAAATTTTAGTTGATTTTGTTCTCTATAATTTGATCTCATGAATTATTTATTTTCACTTCAAACCAGGTTGATGCCGCTGCAAATCATTGACTCTACTAGAGTGTCAGTGCTATTTTTTCCATTATTTTAGTATTTTCAAGCTTTTAAAATTTATTCTCAAAATAAAATTTATCAGAGGTTTTTTTGATATTTTTCATTTGTAAAATAATTCTAAGAAATAAAATAAAAGGAGAAAGAGAAACAATCTGTTGTGAAGATTTTTGCTTTCTCAAAGCCAAAAAGCTTAATTGCCCCCATGCAGGATCGAACTACAGACCTTCAGTTTACAAGACTGACGCTCTACCACTGAGCTATAGGGGCGATTTTGACCAAACGATTAACGAAAGAAATTTAAATATTTAATTTCTCTAATTCAGGCTGGCACTTCTAAAGAAGTCGATAAGAATAATTTCCCTTTACGGAGGAAAAAAAAAATAGAAACTGTTTTTTTAATGGATAACATATTAAAAGGAAAACATCTTTATTCAATATCAACTTAATGTACAATTTACGCTTCAGGATTTCAATAATAATCTACCTTTATCAGATATCTAATTAGGCATAACAAAATTTCTATTTGCTTTCACGAATCATTTCTATGATGTCACCTAAAGTTGTTGACTACCATAGCTCGTGACTCCAAAAGATTATCATGCTCAAGTTTTTTTTTTTTTTTTTTAAAGGAGGGAAAAAAAGACTAATTTTGGAAACCAAGTTAACATTCCAATAAATTTACGAATCTGATTTCAACCCTCCAAGTTTTAAAAGCTGAAATGAGTCAAATAAACTAAAGACTGCAAAGTACAAACTGATCCTTGCCCCAATTATGTCGAAACCTCAAGAAGATTGGATTTCATATTAACAGCCCAAACAAATTAAAAACTATAGTTGACCCAATTAAAATTAGAGGTCGTTTGTTTAAGCTTTTAGAAAAAGTAACTTTTATCACTTCCTTATTTTAAAAGTACTTTTTACAAAAGTTAAAGCTATTTATATTTTGGAAAAAGTGTTTGTCATTTTAAATGACAGAAAGTTATGTAATTTTAAAAGAGATACAGATACAGAAAATTTGAATTTTAAATTAAAAAAAACCACCAACTTTCTCTCTCCCATGATTTTCGTTTTTTTGTGTCTATCTCTCTCCTAAAATGACATAGCTTATGTCATTTAAAATGACAAACACCAAACCCCTATATTTTTATAAAAATATTTAGATTTTGAAAAAAATATTTGACTTTTGACTTCTGCTTTTCTTAGAAGTTAAAATTTTTAGCTTCTGAAAAAAGTAAGTTTGTGACTTTTTTTTTTTTTTAAAAGCAGACATCCAAACGAACTAAAAACAAGAAGTGTTTTTTTTTTTTGAAAAAAAAAAAACAACTTTTAAAAAAAAAAAAAATCATCCAAACGGACCTTACAAAGGAAGCTCAATCTTCCTCCCGTACGACTTAAATTACTTTATGAAAAGCTTCTTCCATATCACATTACTACATTTCTAAGTAAGACTCTTAATGAACCGAACCAGTAAGAGAATAATTTGAGACTCAACTTATTAACAAGCTTGATGAACTTGGTACTTGAACCATCAAATTTGGGCTCTTTAATTATTGTGTCAAATGCTAAGACATCCTCAAAGTACTCATTATGAGCTCAACTCATGCCATTAACCCAAAGCAAGTTCCCTAATCGGCCATCATCTACTCTTGAGGCCCTGGGAAACATCATTAGATTCGTATAGGCCTTTGCTTGTAAAAAGCTAGGAGCATCATATGCATCATCATCATCTATTGGGTTGGAGGTTAGCATCCGCTCAAATAACCACTTTTAACCACAGTGTCTGACATCCATTGGGTTTTTTTTTTTTTTTTTCATGTCTAAATTTTAGAGCCAAATTTGCAGTCATTTGAACAACTTTTTCAACTTTTGGAAGTTTCAAAAAAGCAAATAAAGGTGCTTTACAGTGTAAACGTAAACTTGATATACCTTATTCTGTTTTTCTTACTGATTTTTAACGCTCACAATGGCATTATTAACCCAAAAATAAAAAAAGCATTGAGAATATTTCAGCAATGATGTTGAGCTGATGCAGCTAATTTTTAGTATCATTTGACAACAATATTTGGACAAGAGCTGCTAGCTTAACTTCTTTCTGCATTTGAAACTGAGGGAATATCACATGTGTGAAATCATTTGACATGTGTTGTGACTTATAATTTGGCAGCTTGATGAAGGAAAGTTGGGTCCACGCTGACTACAACCTAAAGAAAACATGTTCATTAGATAGTGTTGAAGAGTTACAAAATCAAAATAGTACTGTATTTCTTAAGAAAGTAAATACCTTCCCAACACTTTTGCCTGAATGGAGATACTCAACAGCATCTGCAACAGAATGCAGGCCTATAAATCTCTTCGGATCAACACCAACCTGTATGAACAAAAGAGAAAAGTAAAGGAACACAAACTTTTAAAGCATGGCAACTGAGAAGGATAACAACTAACTAGCAAATACCAGATGAAATGCTGTTAATAAAGAATAATTTTATTGATCCATAGATATGGAACACGTAAAAATTACCTTTAGCTTTCCTATAGAGTGAAGATTAAATAGTCGGTCAAGATGTTCTTGCCACATGTGACTATATTGCACCAGGAAAAAGCCAGCCTGAAAATTTGGAATTTTGTGTGACAATAAGAAAAGCAAATTGTGAGGAGAGAAAAAAAACAACTTTGTACAGGAGATTGTAATTCTTGGTATAATTTTTTTTAATTTAGAAACAATTAAACAAATACATGGTTAATGCGTTGCTCATACTACTTGTCCAAAATTAGAACAATTTTGGCTAGAAATTCTTAAATTGTAGGTTAAATCCAAATTTGTAAGCCAAGAATTGAAAAAATAAGTATTTGTCGTTCCAATATTTCATCACTGTATGATCTGACCATAGGATTGAGGTTTAAAAGTTCATGTTCAACTTTCCTGACCATAAAAAGTTCAACTCCTGAATGAGATGGATATTCTTAGCTCCGTAAGCCACAAGTGACAGAATGAAAAAAACAAAGAACCAGAAACAACATAAAAGTAATGGCATCCTACAAGTGCATAACTCCATCATATTGCTACATACCACAGTTTGGCTCTTGGCCAAGATCTTCTCGCACAATCCAGGGTAATTTGATGGCGTCCAACCATTATCTCCTTGATACTGATACAAATGAAAACAACAAATATGAAATCAATATTGTTCATTAACAATACATTTCTTAAGAGGACAGAGACAGCTTAGTGCAATTTATACTCCAAGGACTAATACTGGGTAATAGCTTCATACACTTTTTTAATGGACTTCATAGATAAGTGGGATAAGAGAGCCTAACGTTAGAAAAAAAAAAAAAAACTATACTAAGGTAATATAGCTAGCTAAAATCCAAATTTCATCCCAGACATCTGAGATAGGTTACAGAATTTCACAATAATTTAAATCCAATTTCCACTATACTTAAATGACGATAAAATCCTAGGTATTGCTTGAATCTAGAATCACTAAATGATTCAGTACTACCTCTTCAAAAAAAAGGGGTAGTTTTGTAATATTTTATAGATGCGGTGAAACTATCACATTTGCTGCTGTGTAATAAATTTGCGGCATGAGAAGAAAAAGAAAAACCTGAGAAATCATGCCAATAACAATGAGTCGTCCATGGACTGCCAAAGCATTCAAGCACAAGCTTAACATGTCACCACCAACAGACTCATAGATGATGTCAATACCTTTCGGGTACTCTTTCCTTAGAACCTGCCAAATTAAGTCACAAATTTAACATGTTGATAGGAAGCAGTTTACATAATAGAGGTTGAGGTGTATCAATAGTATCAGTGACATGTAGAAACTGTCTCAAAATTCATTTGACGAAGTATATAAGAGATAGCATAAACAGTTCCCATAAGAGAATATAATTAGCATTATCTGTAAAAAAATTCAACAGCCACTAGTTGGATATAGCTAAATACATCAAGGACCTGAGAATGTTATACTGTGCTTGTGTTGATTTCAACGAATTTTACATACAAGCACCCATTAACCACCTGAAAGGTTGATCATGTCATGCTGTAAATAAGACCAAGACCAACCATTTATCCTTTTTAATAAAAATCACAACAAATAAAGCAGTTATGGTTAACAGAAGCCAAAAAGAATCAGAGAAATAAAAAAGTATACAGTTTTTATATCTTCACTATGATAGTCTATGACTCTGTCAACTCCCAACTCTTTCAGAAGCTTGGCCTTTGCCCCACCTCCACAAGTTGCCACCACTGTATTTCCTGCTAACTTTGCAAGCTGCATAGACCAGGCAAAGAAACTTTTACACAGAAAAATTAAGAAAATTTGAGACTAGGAAATATAGAAGGAAACGCCCTCCAACTTAGTTATCTAATAATAGATATGAGCAAACATCGTACTATTATTTTTTAATTTCTTTTTCATCTGTTAGGACAGAAAGGTATTTGCATGGGAGAATAAAGGCAAAACAAAGTAGTTAGTTAGTTAAGCGGGATCAGTTAGATAAATAAATAGGGAGACCAAGGGTAGGGACATCATTAGGAAATTGTATTTTGAGAGAACCAAGCAAGTGCTTAGTTGTGAAAGAGGAAACCACAAGGAGGAAACCCTTGGAGGAGAGATCTTACTTGTTCTGCTCATTTTCAGTCAAGCAATAAAATCATTCTTTTCTTTTCTATATCTCCATCGTGGGTTCCTACCAAAATCTTGAGCGGTTTTAAGTCAAGAGATAGTCTATCTTGATGACTTTTTCACCTTTCTTTGTTTCATAGACATAGAACCTCATATTTAGAGTCCGAGAATCTAAGAAGAAATGGCAAGAACATATACAATATATCTCACAAAATAATTATGAAAAAACAACTAGCAATCTTTGTTTTAAAATAGTGGTTAGTTATCTTTAGTCTGAAGGAATCTAGGGACCACATCTAAGAGTTCTTTGTATGATCTCAAGAACAAGTAGCGCTTGGTTAAAATAGTATTAGTAATAAATGTCTGTCAATATAAAAAGAGCGTGAAGAAAATAGATAGAATAAAAGATACAATAGTCTGTTGAATTTTGTCCAGAACATTATGTTAGTTTGCCTGGCTTTGCCTACAACTATAGAACATAAGAAGCATGCAATTTGTTCCAACAAAAGATTCCTAGAAACATATTCATATTGCTAAGAAAAGTGGCATTGGATTTATGAAGTACCTGAACAGCAAATTGCCCAGTTCCTCCTGCCGCAGCAGTAACAAGGACCACCTTTCCCGATTCCATCTGTCCTGCCTTTGCAGTGTACAAAAGAGAATCTTATCAGGACAAGCCATCCAGTGGAAGATTAACTGAAACTAAATATAAGCTTCATAAAAGGTAGTAAACCATTAAAAAGCTTGAATTACGCTGATACATGATATGACTAGAGTTTCAAATCATAACAAATTAGTATACTTCTGAAGCAAGGAGACGATCTTATATTAGTCAACCTTTTCAAGAGCAATTGAGGCTGTTAATCCTGATGTAAGCATGGCAACAACTTCTGGATCTGGTTTAGGCACTGGAAGGGCATGTTTTGAAGGAATCTAGACCAAATAACAAGACAACGTCAATAACTTACATCATAATAAGTATACCTCGGTATCATCATCACATCAACTTAATAATTAAAACTAGCAGCTTTTAAATAAGTGGTTGATGGGAAATTCAATGATTACGATATTAATATGAAATAAAAATATTGACAATATGTTAAGCACAGCTCACCATTATGAATTCAGCATAGCCTCCGAAAGTCATGAATGCACAAGGCATACCAACTTTCAAGTCAGTAACAGAATCCCCAACTGCTGCAATTATTCCTACTGCCTAAAATGTAACACGAAAATTTGGTACACGTGTAAGTAGAGGTATACTGCATCAAGTGGTAGATATCATACCAAGAAATCTAGGCTTGGCGATATATCTATACCTCAAATCCTGCATCAAATGGAAGACGAGCAGCAGTATCACTGTTGTTGCCACCAAAATATCGGCCTGAGCTAAAATTTACCTATTATCACTAATTCTTGTTAGAATTATAAATGAAAATACATGTTCTAGATAAAGAGAGGATATTGCAAGTGAAAGGCAGACAGTGCGGGAGGGGGGAAGCTGTGTATTATACAAAAAGAAATAATATTAATTAATGTTAAGATACTTAGTTTCTTTCTTAAGTCATTGACGTCAAATAAATAAAAAAGAGAGGAACTGATATCATGAGATCACATGTTTTATCCAAGATCACACACATCTTACATTATAATCCAATAGTGTTCATTCTAGAGATACATACTTTTTGTCCCCACTCCTTCAGTCATGCTTAGGTTATAAATCAAAACTATCAAAGCCTTTGATGAGAGAAGGTATCTACCACCAGATCCCTCAGAGAAAACAATTCGTTGTGTCAGTCTAAGAGTTTATCTATTGGGTTTATATGTTAAGAACTGCGCCCTCTTTTTTGTCATAAAAACAACTTTTGAAGGTAGGCATGCTCCTGTAGGAAGTTATACATCTGAAAGAATAGAAGTGAACACAAAATCTGGCTTATTGGAATTTTACCATTTATTAACAGTTTATCTACATATTCTTAAGAGAAAAAGGTCCCTAAAAGACAAGTGTTTTCTCATTTTGGTCACCCAAAGTTTATTTTATCAACTGAATTACTGTGTGTTTTAGAGTTGTAAAGAACCAATTCAACCCAAAAGCTTAAGCTATTGGGTGAGGCCACTTTTATATATCTGAACACGCCCCCTCACACGAGAGCTCACTGGGCTTGAAGGGTAGACAATGCACAGGCCCACCTATCTGTGCGAAGAAATTCCACTTGAAAGAAAGTGGAGGGCGGTGAGGATCGAACCCGGTACACCGAGGCTCTGATACCATGTAAAGAATCAATTCAACCCAAAAGCTTAAGCTATTGGGTGAGGATACATTAATGGTTTTATATATCTCAACAAGAGTATCTCCTAGATCCCCCAAAGCTTATGTACACAGAAAATGTGTATGGTAGGACCAAACTCAGACGTATAAATAAAGTCAATGACTCAACTAAGAAAACTAGACTTTGAAGAATCAAATTGAGAATACATTGCTTGAAAATATTAGATTTTGCAGAAAAACTCAGGTGTGGTAGGAAGATGTAAAGAACCAATTCAACCCAAAAGCTTAAGCTATTGGGTGAGGATACATTAAGAGTTTTATATATCTCAACACGCCCCCTCACATGAGAGCCCATTGGGCTTGAAAGGTGGACAATGCACAGGCCCACCTACCTGTGCGAAGAAAGAAATTCCACTAGAAATAAAGAGGGGGGCGGTGAGAATTGAACCTGGGACACAAGGCTCTGATACCAAGTAAAGAACCAATTTAACCCAAAAGCTTAAGCTATTGGGTGAGGCTACATTAATGGTTTTATATATCTCAACAGAAGAAGAACTTACGAGCAAGAAGATGAAAGAAACTTCTTATTATCTTTTTTGGTCTTACTTTGCAACTCATACAATTGATACGACTCCACCCAAGATGCAGGTCTGCTGTATGAAGAAATCCAGGGTATTATGCACCCTCATGGCTGACTCAGCAAAGAAAGGAAAGATTGTTATGAAAAACGGTTAAGAGGTGTTAGGCAACATGTATTAAATGAGGAGGAAAAGGAAGATCACTTTTGGGCATTAAAGACTTTGGGCTTGGGAGAGACCAGAAGTTCTCCAATTCTTCTGGGAACTTGTTTTCTGTTTATCCTTCTCCCTTTCTGTTATTTCCATTTCTGCATTTGTTTCGTGCGTAATCTGTCCTGTAGTTTGTTACTGTTACTAGTTTCATGGAATGAGTTGATACCTTGTTGTTAGTTCCAGTAATTTCAATACAATTTGAGATTTTCTTATAGAATCATCTCTTTTTTAGTTTCTGGTTTATATCAATGTTTTTGGTTTGTATCATACTTGAACCATAAATACATAGTGCCTTACTAGTCCTTTAAAAACAAGCATTCTGACTCGAGAAATTTCAGAATTAATTTGTAACATACATGTATAATAGTTTTCTCTCTAAACTATTATACAGAAAAGTCACGAGTATATTAGATTAGTATATATTTATAATCAGTAATGCTGTTTCTGACTTGAACATGGATTTATTGAGCTAATGTATAATTATTCTAGTCTCTTAGTTTAGCAACCAAACAAAGGCTGTATCTTTTTCCACGATTGAGGCTATTTGTCAGGAAGTTAGGCCTTGGACATGTCTGACAGAGATAATTCTGAAAACAAACATCATCAATATGCATACACAAGTCCTCTCAAAGATATAGTAACTTACATCACTAGCATTTACGCCAGCATAAATTATCTTCACAAGAACATGGTTTGGTTTGACAGGAAATCTCAGTGATGTTTTCACTATGCTAGTAGCATTCCGAAAGTTGTGAGTCAAGGTCTGAACTACTCTGCAAACAGTAAGCAGCTATTTAAACCACTAAATAACCCATATTTCAATTAATAAAATTATGAGAAGTAATTGTCAACAGATCAGTCAATTTGAGGATATAATTGCACCCTTTCTAACGCTATGGAAATAGAAAATAAACATCTTCCAACAACATATATATGTTATAGTAAGAAAGAGTTCAAATACACACATTTTCTCAAAACTCTCGGGGAGTTTAATTGATGGAGCTTTGAATTCGGATCTTCTCTTAAAACGTGAAGAACCTATCATGTACTTTGCTTCTTCTGAAGGGGTGGGCCAGTACTCCATACCTCGACGAATAGTAATCCATAGGCAATGACCAGCTTTACTCTCATCCGTAATGAGCTCAAAAGCACCTTGACAGGTTAAAATTCTCATCAAATTTTATTATAGATTAGAAATGTTGACCAACCATTGATGATTGACTCAGGTGACATTCTCATAATGCTTATTAAATATTAACAAATTATTATTAACAACACAATTTTCAATCAACAAATGAATCAGGGTTTTCGGTACAGATGAAAGAAAAGAGAGAATAGAAACTGAGTAATATTTTGTGTATATTGGTAAAATATGAAGCAGCAAATCCGATTTATATTAGAACTAGACTCTTAATCCTAATTACATATATGTTGATAATATTTAAGTGTGAGTCATTGGTAAAATCTCACATTAGATAGAAATGGACCAAGTAAGGACCATATAAATGGGAAAAGATCCATAGGCTTCTTGTGTTAAGATTTTGGATTGAGATGTGAAATTAAACTAATGGAACTAGAATTTCTATTAATGAGGAAATAATGGAGACTAGCTCCTTACAACAAATAGAGGACAGAATCACACAAGAAAGAAGAATCTAATTGCTAGAGCAACCCTAAAAATGGAGGAAAAAACACCCCAAGAGGCCTCACATAGAACCTCTCTCCTCTCAACCAACTAACATTCTAAAAACCAGTGTTTAAAAACTCGGACCGGTCATCGACTCGGTCGAGGTACTGGGTCAATGGTTTAACCGAATTTACTGTTCACATATTAAAAAAACATAAACATATTACTTATATTAAAAATTCACATAAGAAAACTACCAATGAGCTTCAAAAAATAAATTGGTTCTCAATGATAACAAATATTATATACTTCTAGGCTTCTACTAGCTCTAGACCATATCCTAACACTGGATTAAAATTGCAATGTAAGCTAAATGCATCTTTTGTGCCTTGACATAACACAGATAAACTAAATCATGATAACAAATAGTAGGCATGAAATATACACTAAGGAGAAAGTTTCTACCAGATGAGACCATCAAAGTTTATCCCCACTTAACTTCTTTATATCATTATAAGATACAACTAAATTACATAAACGAACTGCACTAATCCAAAATATCTTCTTATTTTTTAATTATATTTATCACAAAATATGAAAATGATTTAATTCAAGAGTTCATAGCAGCCAAAAACAAAAATATTTACAAAAAAAAAAGTTTTACAAAAAAAGAAAAAGAAAAAAGAAGATGGTCAACCGGTCTAACCTGGGTCAACCGGGTTACTGAGTCGTCGGGTCTCCGCCGAGTCAACCGGTCCAAACCGAGTTGACTGCAGAACCGATCCAAAAGACGGCTTGGACCGGGGAACCCACCGGGTCACCGAGACCCGGCCGGTTTTTGAAACACTGCTAAAATCTATGCATATGATCTCTACCACACGCCCTTCTTTCATACAACAGCCTTCCACCCACGTTTGATTTGATTTGTTAAAATATAAGGGAAATCATAATGTAAAAAAATTATATTGTGTACGAATTTTTAAATTAAAATAAGGATCAGACGAAAAGCAACTCAAGAGATAGTATCGTCAAGCCTGTTTCGATCCTTTCTTTTTTAAGTTAGAAGTTATTTATAAGATAAAGCTAAAAAAAAGAGCTTAAAATAAAAGCTAAAAGTTGTTTGGTGACTACTTAAAAATTTTAGCTTAAAAGCACGTATTTCAAGAAAACTCTCTCTCTATCTCTATAGCTCTTCATTTCAAAAAAAATGCATACAATTCAAGAAAAGTAGATAAAAGCTTAAAAAAAAGGCTCTTCCTAGAAGCTTTTGGCTTTTAGCTTTTTCCTTCATTATAATATAAGAGTTTTTCTCAAAACTTGTTTGGCCTAACTTCTGCTTATAAGTAGCTTTTAGCTTAAAAAAGAGAAGATCCAAACAGGCACTAAATTTGGTAACAAAAATTTATCCACATTCCACAATACATAAAAAAATACCAATAATTCATGCTCCTTCATTTTTCCAACTTTATTGCACACGTATCAAATACAAAGGGTATTACATTTAATTTTGTGTTATTTTGTGTAGTTCATAGGCATATCAAATAACCGAGAGCACAAAATTTGTGCATTGATCATCAAACAGCTAACAACACAAATTATTCATTGATTCAACCACTTGTATTTTATTGTCCTGTTTGTGTTGTCCCACAATGTACATTAAATGCACCCTCAATAATATTCTTGTTTACTCTTTCCTTTTCAAAATAATTGTCGTTTGACATTTTGTATAAGGATTAAGAAAGTCATTAAATACCTTAATTTTAGGAAATATCACTATATTTGACTAATTACCCTTCCATTTCATTATTTCTCTCTCTCATTTCACTTAGAGAAGATACTAGGACATAAGGAGACAATTAGAAGTAAAAAATAATTAATATTTTTTTTGTTTTCCTAAAGTGACAAATAATTTAAACAAACTAAAGCTTCTAAAGTAATAATTATTTTGAAACAGAAAAAGTATACTGATGAATATCAACATCACCTTAATCCTGAATTAGTTGGGATAGGCAAGAAAGAGTATATTGATATGATAAAAAAAAGAGTCGCTAACCCCTATTTATAATAGTACTAAACTCTTGATTCTAATCAAATAAGTAGGGAAATATGTAAAAATATGAAATTATTGTTAAAAGATCATCCAAATACTTCAAAATATTCTAAGATATAATAATATTATGAGATATTTTTAAAATTTTAACATAAACGTTAGGATATGTGCATGCTGTGAAACACGGACACGAGAATTTTGAAGAAAAATGCGTGTCCGACACGTGTCCGACACAGACACGTTGGGACACGTTTGGACACGCGTCCGACACGCGGTCAACTTTTTGGGACACGTTGACTAGTGGGACACGCGAATTTGACCGTATCCGACACGCGGTCAACGTATGTGGACACGTTTTGGGACACGTTTTTTTTATAAAAAAAATAAAAATAAGATAAAAAAAATAAAAAATATTTAATAAAAACGAAAAAGTCTGGAACGGTGGAAGTGGCCTCTCGCGCTGGAACGGTCCTCGTCTTCTTCCTCTCGCCGTCGGTCGCCGGCTACATTTCCGGTCGTTGGTCGCGTCTCTGTCCATTCTCTGAAATTTTTCTTTCAATGATCTATAAGGAAGGATCTAATTAAAAAACTTGAGGAACATCAACATAAAAAGATCTAATATACAGTGCAACGTATGAAGGCTTCTTTTGAGACTATTGGCAGCATAATTTGTTTAAAAAACTTTGAAGAATCCAAAGGCAATATAAATATAAAAAAAATTGTTCTTCCGAGAAAGGAGTTTTTGAAGCTTGTGTTTTGATACAGTGATTATGCGTGTGTGTTTTGTTTTGTATCTTGATATTAAAAGAGAGTGAGAAAATGAGGGAGATGGTTTGATGAGTAAAAGGAGGAAAAGGTTGGGTTATTAGGCACCTGCAAAAAAGCCAGACCTTGTTTTTCTTTTCCAAGAAAACATGGGGAAAAGGAACAAAGGAAAAAGAGAGAGAAAAAGAGTCAAGAGTGAGATAGAGTTGTCATCTGTGCGTGTCTATGAGACTAGGAATTAAGACACCTTCAACTGCATGATTGATTCCTTCCCCTTTAACAATCTGAAGGTTTGATGTTCTATTATTTTTTTTTAATATTTATGGTATGAAATTTAAATATTTGATTGATTATATGACTTATTATGGATTTTTATATGTATTAAATTAAATTATATTATATATATTAAAAATTTTATTTAATATCAAAACGTGTCCCAACGTGTCCAAATATGACATTTTTTAAAATTAACGTGTCGGCGTGTCGTGTCGTGTCGTATCCCGTGCCCGTGTCCGTGCATCGTAGTGTGCATGCAATGGAAGAAGGGGTAACAGAAAACCAATCAATCATCCCCATGATGCTTTTGCAATATTCACATATAAATCAGACCTCTACAAAGTATTGTGATTTGGTAAGCTAAAGAGTAAACCCCCACCCTTGTTTGGCCAGGCCACACGATAGAACAAGGAAGTATTTTTATTTTTATTTTTATTTTTTTTGGAGAACGAGAAAGATTATATTTACAAACTGTTACAAAAAATTTGTAAATATAATCCTACTATTGGAGAATTGAACAAGGAAGTATATGGACTCACCTTTCACCACCGTTTCCATAGGTATAAAGCCTCCCATCAAAGTGATGAAATTGCGATCCATCTTTAAGCCCATATCAGTTTCAACAAACTGCCGAAACATTCAAAATATTATAGTAAATTGTAATATAGCATTACAAGAAATTTTGTTTTGAAAACCGAAAACCATTTAACAAATGAGAGGGGATATTCATCCTGCCTCATTTTTTTCACTACCATCGACTATAACCATGTACTCCGAAAAGTACATAGTTATAAGGAGAAAGTTATATTTATAAATTTTTTGTTTACAAAGTAAACTATGTACTAGAGGTAGTACATTCTAACACACAGTGTACTATCACTAGTATTTAGTGTAATTTATAAGAGTTTGTAAATGCAATCCTTCCCTAGTTATAATATTAAAGTTTTTTTTTCTCTCTCTACATCAGCTGATAAGTTTCTGAAGAGAGAGAAAAAAGAACAACTTTAATATTATAATTATGTACTCTCACAAATATATAATTATAATGGATAGTAGTAGAAAAATGAGGTAGTATCAACATTTTCCCTCTTAACAAATTACAAACAACAGAAAAATACTAGTCAATTTTACAGCACAGAGAAAAAGAAAAATTCTAGTCAATTTAAGCGGAGTATTTAATATTTCCACAGGTTAAAGATTAATAATATAACCAAGAATATCCATTCTTCAAATACAAATCTTACCTCAGGGCAAAGCGCATTGACTCGAATTCCTTGACGTTTGTACAGACGAAGTGCTCTAGAAAACATAACAACACCAGCTGCAGAAGTATAGTAGCGTTTTAGGAAGCAATAGTAAGTTAATTTATGCAATTGCTAAAGATGGAGATATGAAACCCACTATTTAAGCCTCACCGAAAAAGTAAAATTTATTTGTTTTTCCAAAATTTACCGTGAAATCAACTTTTCTGCTAAAAGCTCTCATCTCAGCATTTTGATTATAATTATAAACTTCAAGCCCAACAATCATCAAATGAATGCTCATAATTAACAACTTCATTTTTAAAGTTGAACAGTTCTTTAAGCTCTTTTGTGTAGCATATTTGTTTTGCTAAACTCAACAGAAAGTTTTCAAGGAGTATACCCTACTCAAAACTGGTAAATGACAAACCTTTAGAGCCACTATAAATAGGGTCAGCATACATTGGATAAAGACCAGAAGCAGAACCTACATTGATAATCGCACCAGGCCTTTTGGCAGCTTCCATGATTTTAATCTATTAAAATGTAAATAATCAATGTCACCAACAATTAATGGTAAACCTTTTTTTTCTTTAGATAAACAGAAAATGGTGAACTAATGTGTGCTCTAATGTGGTTATGTGAAAGCAAATTATGATATTTTCCCCATTGAGAATGTGAATCAACGTTCTTTTGGCAGCAACAAGTAAAAAGATTTACTCAAAAGGATATTAGAAAAACCAGGTCACATTTCATCTTACAGCATGGCGAGTGCAGTCAATAACAGCAGTCAAATTCACATTAACAGTGTGTCTCCATGAAAGAGTACCATCCGTTTGATCCTTATAAAAGGGTATAGGATTACCAATCCCTGCACTGTTAATACAAATGTCTAGTCCTCCATATGTCAAACAGTGCTTCTCAAATGCAGCAGCAAGATCCCCTGATGGTGGCAATAAATTAATACATCTACGTACACTTAAGACAATAGCAAGTGCATTTGATGATTTATAACATTTATCTGCATATCTTACGCTACTTCATGATATATGGAACACAAGGAAAACAAAATACATTTTTTCCATGTTATGAAAATGGAAAAAATGTGTATCATTTTAAAGGATGTAAAGTTATGTCATTTTAAGTGAGAGAAAGAGATAGATAAAGGAGGAGAGAGAGTGGACAAAAAATATAAAGGTGTAGGTCTCATCTCTTTGTGAGAGTGAAATGACATAAGTTGTGTCATTTAAAAGGACAAACACTTTTCCCTATGAAAATTTATCGTTTTCATTCTACCATGTAAAACTCTGTAACTAACTTCCTGTTGAGTGATGTTACTTCACTACACAGAATGGTAACACTATATTTGCTATGGAAGAACAAAGGAAGGTTTGATGAGAAGCTTATAGAGAGCCCATAAGCATGCAATTCCAACTTCCAGCATGTTGTTGTATGTTTTGCTAATAGACAATAGCCCACTTACTTGCTTTAGTCACATCACATTTTACAAACATTGCAGATGGATGTTTTAACTTGGAATGAAACTTGGTGTGAATTTTCTCAACAAGGGTTGCGACTTCTCTTCCCTTTTCCTCAGAGAAATCGACAATTGTGATAAATATACCCTTCTCTGCAAGAGCAAGGACTAGACCTTTGCCTGTATAAAAACCAGAAACACAGAATCAGATTACACATATTAATGTTTGAAGAAAATCATAGATGTGGTATAAAGTAAATTGCATCAAGCATATACATACGGATGTCACAAACACAAAAATAGATAATGTTCCGGGCTAGATTACACTCCAAAACGTACACACATTCACCAACCTACTCACCATACACTCTATGCCCAGAACTCTCCAAATTTCCCTCTCCCTATAAGTCCACACATGCACCCTTGATACCAGATTGTTGGCATAGAGATTCTGATCCTTTCAATTATAATATTTATACTGACGCTCTAAATATTGAAACACCAACCTCTATCTATTGCGCTGGACATTCTCTTTTCGACCACACCGAAGAGCTAATTAAATTGGGAAGGATTTAAATTCTTAATTATGAACCCGCCCCGAACAGGATTGCCTCTCGTGAAAGATATACGTGATTAGTCACAAATTATCATTCTTTCACCAGTCCGTGACCAAAGAGTTGCATAGTTGTAGCCTTAGAACTAATTCTTACATATGTAGATATATAAAAGAAGAATAATCATTTCATGAACTTGGAATTGAGTGATTCAATTACTAATAGTTGTTTGAACACGACCACAATAGTCACTATTTCATTCGTTGAAACAGCACAAATTGCTTCCGCAAAAAAATTTCAAAGAGCGAAAGAATAAATTTTTTAATTAGAAAATCATATAATATAGTATTGCTCTTTGTTTAAACTCAGGAATGGCTTAAAATTAATCTCCATAACACCGCTTGTTAAATCACTTCCACAACTCAAGCTTGTTTTGAATATTTGAATACCGATAACAGTTTCAGTTGAGAAAGTCAAATCGAAGAGTATCATAGATATGAATGGCGTTAAGGAAAACACGCGCTTACCGATTCCAGAGGCACCTCCAGTGACGAGTGCTGACAAACCAGGTTTGATCTCCATTATCGTTCTTCTTCTGCGGTCGCTGTTATGAACGGTTTAAGGAAAACAATAGATTGATAAATCAGGTCTTTTTATCTGACAACATGTGATTTAGTCTCAAATCCGGATAAGGATCCTCTGGAGTTGGAACATTATTAACTGCATGAAACGCAGTTGTAAAAAATGAAATTTTTATAAGAAAAGATAAATGTTTTTTTGATTATATGTTTTTTTAAGTGGAAGGTTATATTTGTAAAAATAAATTTATAATTTCTTAGAATCATATTTTAAATACTGTTGATTTTTACCAATTAACAGTTATGATTTTTGAAAATTAAATTCATTAATTAATTATTAATTCACAATAAATGATAACTGTTGTTTAACAAAAATCAACGGTATTAAAGTGTAGTTGTAAGAGGTTATAAAAAAAGGTTACATCTCTTTTTTATAATTATTTTATCATAAAATATAAATAAAATTTAAAGGTTAAGAGGTCATTAATAGAGGATCATGATCCTTCAGATCCTGAGATTCGGTTCCCCCCCTTGTTTTTACCGAAACTTGCCTAGGAATAAGTGAGGGTCATTTTGGGTTTCACGCTTCTTATACGCTCGGTTCCACGTGCAACATTTGTCTTTCAGCTTTTGTTCTTCTCGACACCGCGAAAAAAAAAAATACACAATTACTTGAAAAAATTATAACCATACAAAATAAATTAATTGTTATAATATTGTAACTAGTTTTGTACAAGGGAAAAAAGTTTTCAATGTTACTTTAGACAATTTTATTTAATGTTTACTAAAACGACGTTGTTTTGGGTTGATAAATTAAAAAATTAGAATAATAAAGATTATTATAACCCTGAAATAAATTAAATACACTATGAATTTTTCCCCAAAATGACGTCATTTCGGTGAAATTTAGATAAAGTTATTTAAAGTAACTTTGGAAAAAACAAACTCATTGTATAATTATAATTCTCTCCTATGATTATATCAATCATGCGAAAAATTATATTTACTATCAATTTTTTTTATTATCTTTTACTATTAAATCTTAACTGTTGATTTTCATTAATTCAATAATTATAATTTATTAAAAACTAATAATTAATTAATAAGTTATAAATATGATCTCATAAATGACAACTATTAAATTAACAAAAATCAACTATTAAGATTTAATAATAAAAGATAAAAAAAAATGCAATAAGTATAAACTCCCCCTTATATGATATATATATATATTTTTTGTCATACAGAGGATCCAGATCAACTTGACACCTCCTATGTTTCTCCTAAACGACAACAGAGGGACAAAAAATGTAGGAAATCGAAGATAATGTTACGTCACAACGGATTTGTTCCCGAGTTCAATAATAAAATGTGTTATATAATTTTTTTTCAAAGAATAATATTTTATTATTTGTAGGTAATTTAAAATGGTGAAATTATACTTATTATTTTTTCTTATTAGCTCTTATTATTAAATTTTAATCATAAATTTCTGTCAATCTAACGATTATAATTTATTAGGTCACATTTAATAATTAATTATTAAATTTTAATAAATAATAACCGTTAGATTGACGAGAATCAATGATTAAGATTTAATAGTAAGAGATAGTAAAAAAAAAGTAATAAGTATAATTTTTCTCATTTAAAATATTTGATTAAAATAGCTCTTTACAGTATTAGTTAGCAAAATTTTATATTTTTAATTTAACGACAAATTATCAATTGGATTTGAAACAGGTTTGATAATGATAATTGTTGATGTTAAATTACATAGTTGAATGACTGGCCGGGGTCGAACTATTCTAATGTCAGGTGAAAGGTATGCGTATGTTTTTAACTAATTGTTAATTTTTTAATTAATTAATCACAAACAATTAATTGCAATTTGATTAATTGACATAATCATTTATAATAAATATTACGGTTAATCAATCACTCATCTAACCTCTTTTGTATGTATGTCACATTAAGTGGAGCTAAAAATAATCCAAAAAAAAAAGTAACCTATAGATATGTTAAAAAGCAGCCAATGATTATATCGAGGTCTATTTTTTTAGGGTTTGTTTTTTCTAAAGTTACTTTAGATAGTTTTATCTAATGTTCATCGAAATGACGTTATTTTAGGACTGAAATCATGGTATTTTTTGTAATTTTAATTTATTTCAGGTTATAATTGTCTTTATCATTTTAATTTTTTAATTTTTAACTCTAAAATAACATCGTTTCGATGAACATTAAACAAAGTTATCTAAAGTAACATTAGATATTTTTTTCTCTTTTTTAAGACAAATAAAAGATTCCTTCTTCAACAAAAACAAAATGGAAAGCGAAAGAAGAAAGAAATAAAAATAAAACGAAAAGGTTTAAAAAGACTTTATACCACACACAACCAAAAAAAAGACAAAAAGGAAGTGACAAAGACAAGAAGACGATTATATGCAGATATTAACGAGAGTGGTACGAAATAGTGAGAGTGGTACGAAATAGTATGAGTTATGAATGCTTTAACCAATGTTGTCTTATTAGAAGTTTATTAATTAATTCTGAAAAAATCTCGGCGATGACATTTCTATCGTCATTTCATTTTTATTAATCAACTCATTTTTATAGGCAGTTTGTGAAAGAGTTCAACAACATTGTCGCACCATTGACAGAGATCATCACGAAGAAGTTAGGCGCGTTTAGTAGACAATAATTTTTTTATTAAGAAAATATAATTATTAGGAATATGATGAAAAAATAAATTTGGTAAAAAAAATTTAAAAAATTATTTAAAAGGTCAAAATATTATCGAAAAAATTAATTTTAGTTTGTTAAATCTATGGTTAAAGGTAAAATATAGATAAAAAAATATGGTTAAATTACCACAACAATCTTGAAGTAAAATAAAATGGAAAAATGTGATTTTAGTTTGCTGAATAGTTTTTTCCAATATCAGAGTCATTTTGATCTCCTTGCTTGTAGTACTTTTTTTTTTTTTTTTTTGATATATATGGAGGGCCTAGCCCAGAAAAATTACAAAAACAACTGATGCATGTTAAAAGTCACATGCTCCAGCAACAATTTCTGTTTAAAAGAAAACCAAACAAAATCTATTTTTGCAGGGGGGGAAAGGGAAACAGATTCAACTCTTCCCCCTTGTAATCTAAACCAATCTTAGCTAGAGAGTCAGCAACAGTATTAACATCCCTAGGAGTATATTCCAAAAGAAAATGATCAAAAGAAAGAGCAAGCTTCCTTATCTTATCAATCAACCCAAAGAACCGGAAAGCCTCAGATTCAGCTTCCAAGCAAGCTATAGCTTCTTTGCTGTCACAACCCACCCACACATCAGCAAGTTTTAATTGCATAGCTAAATTAAGCCCATGGAAAATACCCAACAGCTCAGCTTCCAGAGATGAGCAGGGGCCAATATTGAAAGAGAAGCCACTTAGCCAATCTCCTTGAGCAGAGCAAGCAACCCCTCCACAAGCTCCAAAACTGGTTGATAAATTCACAGCTCCATCTACAAAAATCTTGACCCCTTCATGAGTTAAAGCCTGCAATGGAATACCAGAAAAACCAACAAGATTCTGATCAACAGTGAATGGTTCTAAACTGCTACTCCTCTTCGTGTCCTTCAAAAAGTTTAGAATCCTGCATAGAGGGTCTTGAGGTCTGGAGAAAAATTCTTCATGAATAGTAGCATTACTCCACTTCCACAAGAACCAGCATGTAACAAAAAATACCTCTTTCCAAGATTTCCAAAATCGCGAAAAGAAAGGTTTGTGCAAATTAATTATGAACCAATCCAAACCATTAATATTGAGAAAATTGGCAGGAACCTTACCATCAAACCAAGCCTCCCAAATGCTCCTAGCATTTTTACAATCTCTGAGTGCGTGCATCAGATTTTCATTCTCCCTTAGACATGTAGGGCAGACTGCCTCCCCTCCACTCCAAAGGCAAGTGATGCTCCTAACAGGAAGTTTATCAAGGCAAGCTAGCCATAAAAATACAGCTATTCGATATGGGCCCTTCCATTTCCACATAGAATCCCAAATTTTATCCTTCTCCAGGTTGGATTTTAATAGAAAGCAGTAAGCATTCCTCACCACAGATCTCCCTGAACGTAAATTCTTCCAGCAGAGGCCATCCTCAGAATTGCTGGGTTTAGGAGTAGGAATCTTCCTTAGCTCATTACAAACAGAAACATCTAAGTGCTTATCCAGATAACTCCAGTTCCACTCTCCTGGAAAAGGATTGACTACATCACTGATCTTAAGATTCAGATCTGCCATAGGAGGCTTGGTTGCGGCCATGTCCAACATAGTCCTCTGCCACCCACCCCACTGATCAGTCCAGAAAAAAGCAGTCTTTCCATTCCTAATAACCCATTCAAGATGCTGTGAAATCTTGTTTCGAGCTGAGCAAATATTCCTCCACAGAGTTGAATCACTCTTCTTTGCTGTTAGACTTCGGTTGGGGTCAGCTTTCCTCCCATACTTCCCTAGCAAAACTTGAACCCACAAGCTGTTTTGATCTTCTATAATCTGCCAAGCTAGTTTATGCATGAATGCTTCATTTTGCAGCCTTAGATTGATAATTCCAAGCCCTCCACACTCCTTTGGTTGGCACATCACCTCCCAAGCTACATAATGAGCTTTCCTTTTAAGTTCCTCATCCCCCCAAATGAAATTCCTTTGCAGTTTCTCTATGTCATTGCATACATGGACAGGCATCATATTATTCTACATGTGAAAACAAGGAATAGCAGATAAAACACTTTTTGCTAGAGTGATTCTGCCTGCCATAGAGAGACACTTGGCCTTCCAACCTTGGAGTCTTGATTGCATTCTTGATATGACCTCAACATAGTGGTCTTTCCCTATCCTGCCATGCCTCATCTTTGATCCTAAATATCTTCCAAAATTCTTGACTATCTTGAAACCACTAACATCTGAGATAGCTTGCACTTCTTCCCGTTTGACATTTTTGGAAAAGTAGATGCAAGACTTCTCAAAGCTAACACACTGTCCGGACATCTTGGAAAATCTGTCTAAGCAAGAGGTAATGCAATTGAGTTGGCTCAAAGATGCTTCTCCAAACAAAATGATATCATCAGCAAACATAATATGAGAGATAGGAGGGCCAGATCTGCCTGCTTTCAAGGGAACCCATGCCCCACTTCCCACTTCATCCAGGATCAAATGAGTTAATTTCTCCAAACAGAGAACAAAAATATAAGGGGACAGTGGGTCCCCTTGTCTTATTCCTCTTTGAGGTAAAAAGCTGTCAGTTCTCACACCATTCCAAAGCACCTCCAAACTGGGACTAGGCACACACCCCATGATGGCTTCCACCAAAATAATAGGAAATTGCAAATCCTCCAAAACAGATCTTATAAACTTCCAGCTCAACTTGTCATATGCCTTTTCAAGGTCAATCTTAATGGAGAAAAATCCTTTTTTTCCTTTCATTCTATGCATAGAGTGAATTAGCTCCTGAACAATGATGATATTGTCATGTATGTGCCTCCTAGGCACAAAGCTTGCCTGGTTAGGAGAAATCAGCTCCTCTAGAAGAGGCTTCACTCTGTTGGCTAAGATCTTACTAAAACCCTTATATATAGAGTTGCATAAAGCAATAGGCCGAAACTGCTTCATCATGCAAGGTCTATCTATTTTGGGAATTAGCACAATCAGAGTATGGTTGATCTCCCCTATCTGACTTGGATTCTTCAGGTAGTACTGCATGCTATTAAAAATTTGAGATTTAAGCATCTCCCAATTTTTTTGGTAGAACATTGCAGGATAACCATCTGCTCCAGGAGCCTTCAAGGGGGGCATTTGGAAGAAAGCCCTCTTCACTTCCTCAAAAGATAAGTCCACATCCAGACTACTCAACTGATCTTCCCTCATATTCGGCCAAGAGCTATTAGTGTGAAACCACAGAGGTTCTTCAGAATTATCCATGAATAAATTCAGAAAAAACTCCCTTGCAAAAACTATAAGCTCCTCCTCTTCAGACACCCAGAATCCTCTATCATCCTGAAGCTTCAAGATCTTGTTATTTTTCCTACGAATAACAGTACTAGCATGATAAAAGCTAGTGTTCCTGTCACCATCCCTAATTCAAGCCCCCCTAGACTTTTGATACCATAACTGCTCCTCTTGATCTAAGACAGAATTGAGTTCTTTCTTCAAATTAGACTCTAGCTTCTCAAGTTTATAGTTGTTACAATAGCTTAGCTGCCTCTGAATGCCCTCCATTCTAGCTATTAATTTGTTCTTCCTAGCTTGTATGAAACCAAAAATATTCTTGTTCCAATCCTTTAACAGGGGAACAAGAGAAGTTAAGTTGTCCAGCAAGCCAGCATCAGCCTTCCAATTAGCTTTCACAAAAGAAGTGAACCTGACATCATTCTGCCAAGCAGCCAAATATCTAAATGGCCTCTCCCTCCAGCACGAATCAACCTTCCTCAATCTAACCAGAACTGGATTGTGGTCAGAAAATAGCCTAGGTAGAACTAGGACATCAACCTCCTCAAAATCAGCTCTCCACCCTTCATTTCCCACTGCTCTATCAAGCCTCTTGTAGACCCTATCCAAATTAAGGAACTTGGGACCTCTCCAGGTGAACCTGTTTCCTCCACCCCCCAAATCCATCACCCCACAAGCATTTAGCACACTAGCAAAAAGGTTGCACCTGTTGACATCCACAGGTCCCCCTCCCCTCTTTTCTGAAGCCAAAGCTATCTCATTGAAATCACCAGTTAGCAGCCATGACTCATTCATATTTCGGCCAATATGCTTTAATTCCTCCCACAACACTTGTCTATTATTTACTTGAGGGCTAGCATAGATGGCAGTCCAAAATAAACCTTTCGAGGCAGGGAACTCCACCCAACAATGCACAAACTGTTCATGATGAGAAATAATAGTAATCCCCACATCCTTGTTATTCCAAACTAATCAAATACCACTAGAGAAACCATGAGCATCAACATAAAAATGATTAGAAAATCCCAAGCTACGAATTATTCTACTAGCTTTAGACCCACTCACTCTAGGCTCAAAAATTGCAGTCACTCCTACATTATGCTTCTTACAAAATCTAGTAAAGGTGCTCTTAAACTGTTTTTTAGCAGCCCCTCTACAGTTCCAGGAAAGAATATTCATCATAAATTTTGTTGTAAATGCAAGTTTGCAAAGCACTTGCTACTTAAACTCTGAATAACAGAACCGGACTCCCTATCTACATCAATCTCTGTATTACAGGCTGTATTACAGTCAAAATTCATGGGATTAATAAGAGAAGCACCTAGAGAGGGGTCAATCTCCATACCTGTCTGGCCCTCACTCTGCTTAAATTTCTGCAGACAGATATTATCAGGTGGATCCGGCTCCTCCACACCATTCACATTGGACATCAAATCAGCAGCTAAGTTCCCCACTGATTGTGCAGGAATTCCCTCCTCCATAGAGGCTTCTGCAGCCATCATCAAGTCCCCCCATCGTTCTCCTTTATAGTTCCCAACACTGATCTGGTCCTCCACCCTAGTGCTCTTCTGCTCAGTCAAGATACTGGATGTGGCACCATCGGCTGAGGTGTGTTGAAACACTTCCTTACCTTTAGAGTTGGGCTTTTTTACAGCTTGTTTCTTCCCTAGTGGCCCAGGGGTTTTATGCCCTGTATTCTTCCTAGGAAGGTTAACTGCTGCAGCAGTAAAATTCATTCCACTAGAATTGGAACTATTTGTCCTCCTTTCTCCCTCATTTTCCTTAGTCACCCTTGTTTTAACACTGGCAGTCTTAGAAGGGCCAACATTGGTCTCTCCTTCCTTCGAGAGGTTCTTATTGGATATGTCTTCCCCGAATTTCCTACCACCACCAATCTCTTTTTTCTGGAATTGTTGATGTACTCTTCTCCTACGCTGAACCACCATCCATGGGCCTACTCCTTGTGGGCACTGGTCCCCTATTGATTGTTCAGGAATAGGAACCTCTTTCTCTGTAGGGATAGGCCTGATAAAGTCTGGGCAAGACTCTGAGTTATGCCCATATCTCCCACACTTGAGGCATATAAGGAAAAGGCCTTCATACTCTACTTTTTTCCTACAACCATCCAGTATGTACTCTCCTCTCAGTGGCTGAGATAAGTCTACCTCAATACATACTCTAGCAAACCGAGCCCTGTCACCTGTCGATGTAGTTCTGTCAACTTTCAACACTTTACCAATTATGGTTCCCAGTTGATTGAGTAGGGCAAACTCGCAGTATTCTTGAGGGATCCCAGGTAATCGAACCCATGCGGCCACCTTGTGGATATTGGCTTTATCTGGGTCAAAACAGGGTTCCCATTTCCTTGCTGCTAGGTAGTGACCTAGGATGATCCAGGGTCTTCCCGTGATTGCCAGATTCAGGTCATCCAAGGAGCTAAACCTCATTGAGAAGAATTCGTTGCCTAAATCAGCCACTGTGATGCTGCCTGCTTTTCCAGTTTCTTCTTCATGTAACCCACCCCGATCCTTTTACCCAGCAGCTTAACAATAAGGGCATTTCTCCAACGTTGCCTCATCCTTGTCCTAGCTTCTCTAGAGCTCCTGATCTCAACTAGTCCATCCTCCCTATAGATCGTTTGAAACCCTCATTCTGAAATCTCGCCTAAGTTTGGGTCAAGAGGCTCCAGATCAGGGTCTTCATCCTCAACCAGCCAAGGGATAGTCTCCCCTACTACCCCATTCTCCACACCCGTAACATCAGCAAAAGAACGATGATTCCCTTTCAAACCTGGACCCGATTGAAAAGCCTTCACCGCTTCCCTCATCTGCATCTCCGTCGAGACTTCTTCCCCACTCTTGGTCCTCTTCGTACTCCTCCTCGCCAAGAGCACAACCTCTGCACTCGCATCCATCGCTTCATCCATCAAAATCCAGCAAAAGCACAAAGAAAACGAAACCCTAGCAGAAAGAATTTTTTTTCGCGCGCGTGGATGTACGCGCCTAACCCATCTCTCGTGTAGCTTTTCTTTTCTTTTTTAATCATCCAAAATGATTCGCCAGCAGCCAATACGTTTTTTCTTTTTTTAATAAAATTCGTTTATCATGCATTTGCTTGTAGTACTTTTTGGATTTCCCCAAACATCACTTTATAGGTGATTTTATTCGACCGCATATTTTACACACAAAATGCAAAAACTAGGCAAATAATTTTCTTAGCAAAAAATTTTAAAACATGATATCAAACATGAACATATAAAAATATCACTTTCATTTACCTAGGTATCTTCAACAAAATTTTGTACCAAACACACCGCTAGATTCAAGTGGGGGAAAGAGAAAGAATGTGCATTAATGAGTTAACTAATGCTCCATTGTTAGTATTACTGAATTTCGGTGCTACTTTTGAAATTGATTGAGTGTGATGCTTCAAGAATTGGAGCTGTATTGATGCAAGTGCAGCGTTCAATATCATTCTTTAGTGAAAATTGAGGGGCTTGAGACTCAATTACCCTATGTACAATTGTAAGCATTGGTGCGAGCTTTTTAGACATGAAACACTACCTCTGGCGTAAGGAGTTTCTTATTCTCATTTGAGACCTTAAAATGCCTTACGGGCCAATAAAAGCTCAACAAACGATATGAAAAGTGGATGGAGTACATAATTCTTTTTCCTTTGTCATCAAATGCAAAAAAAGGGAAGAAAAATGTGGTAGCAATGAGCTATAGGTATGCCTACAATGCAAATCTGGCTTTTTGACCACTGTAGCCTTAAATTAATAATTAATTACTAATTCGCCCTTTAACCAAAACATATCATCCATCTGCCCCTATTTTACTATGTAGGACATAAAATACCTGGGTAGGCAGAGAGATACCCGATTATAATTTGAAAATTTCACCCTACCCGGGTAGTCAATAGGATACCCGGGTATTGTTCGAAATCTGGAAAAATGTTTGAATTATTTACCCGGGTAGGAAGGGGGCTACCTGGGTAAGCTACGATGAAAAAAATAAAGATGAATGATTATATATTCAAATGAAATACAGTACCTAATTTCATCAACGTTTTCTTCAATTCTACATTCCTAAATCTTGTGTTAAAGTTGCTTCCGATGCGAGTAGACAAAATACATGATAAGCATATAGAGGTTGCCAACCAGTGTGATCTTTGACTGCCCTTATGATGCTTCAGTGACGATAGAAAATTATACAAATACATTGCCTATGTGTGATATGAAAGCGTATAAGACTAAGAAACCAGGACCAATCTTCTAACTTCTCACCTGGAGGGACAACAACAAAGGCAATAGGCAGCAGATATCAATCTCATCTTGTGATGTTGCAATCAAAAAAGTTCCTCTGTACTTCCCATACAGATGAGTGCTTTCAATTTGAAGTATAGGCTTACACTATTTGAATGCTTCAATGCATTGGTGAAATGTTCAAAAAATCCTATGAAATATGGCCTTGTCCGTATAAACCCGACGTTCGTCAAAACATTGATTCGTATCAAGCTTGAACACAGAACTGACGTTCACCTGCGTCATGCACATCAGCCAATTGGGCAAGAATCCATACGACTTCTCTCAGTCACCATATAACTTAACAATGGCCTTCATTTTTGCCTTCCAAGCCTTTCTGTACGTTATGTTGTATCCATATATGTGTTGTATCCTCTCTTGTATCAGAACTGGTTTTAAAGCTGGATCTTCCTTTAACATATCTGTAAAAAAAATGACTTTAGAATATTCTCAAAAAGCAAAATTCATTAAGTACATGGTACAATACGTACTCATAATAGCCGCACAAATGACATCTGAATCCAACTGTCTATGATCCTGTGCGAGGCCCTGATTCAGGCAGGTGTGATCTTGGCCCTATTTACGGACCACCCAATTAGCTCCCTTCTTGGGCTTGATTGCCTTCATATACCAGGGACAACCGTCAGCATGGTTTCTACACTTCATAACAATTCTGGACTCGTCGCTTTTTTCGACTATGGCTGTCTTGCGCCCCTTCATACAATGTATCTTCACAGCATGCTGCATTTCAGGTTTGGAGCAAAATTCTTGTTGCACAAATAACGAAACTCCTAACTTCCAACCTCCGTGCAAGTCACCATCCTCATAGAGAATCTCCAACTCGTCATTAGGGTGCGCTCAATTAATGAATGAATAGTGTTGGCTTTCATTCCAAAATGGCTCTACCTCAGTCTCTGCATTTAAAGCATCATTATTATTGTGTGAAGCAATACCACCGCAAATAATAATTGTTCATTGCAAATTAAAATTTAATAACTTACCACTACTGACTGGGTCAACATGAAATGGTGACATGGCTAGGGTACCCAGGCTTACAACGCTTGTGTCAGCGTCAAAATTTCCATCCACGTCAGTGTCTGACGAATCACCTTGTGGAATAGCACTTTCAGGTTCTCCCTCATCTTCGCTGTCCACATACTCCTCCTCTTCATCCTCATCCAATGTTATCTGGCTTAACACCTGAGCAGGTGTAGATGAATGTACAACTGTATCTTATTGAATAGTACACAGTGCAGTGGTTGTATGCACCGGTAAAGATGAAGACCGACCATCATCAACTTCAACATATATCTCAATCAATTTTAATACTTTCCAGCCAACAAACGCATCTGTTACGAACTCCACATCTTCATCATCATTGAGATCGTTACCAATGTAGTATATTGTATCCATATCCACTACAGTCTCTAACCTGGCTATCATGTGGTTAATGGATTAGATGCATTCTAACCCCAATTTTTGATGAATTCTCTCCTTCAGTTCATTGCATGTAGTACCCACTTTGATTTTCATTGTTTTTGTTTTGTTTTTCCAAATCGGACACCGTTCGGACCTTCAAAATGCCTCCCATTGTAGTAAATAACTACAGGAAACATGTTTGGACTTGAACTCATCTTTCACACGAAAATTGGGTCTAGGGTTTCAGTTTAGGTTTTGATTCGGATTTTTGAGAAAAAAATGGGAATATGAAGGTGTAATGCCAATGTCCTCTCAAGATTAGGCTTTTTGAGATGATGGGATGAAATACATGTATGATGATTCAGAATAGAGATGTCAAGGGAGAGAGATTTGAGGAAAAAAAACTTATAACTCGTAACAATGGCCGAAACCCATTAATATTGGGGTTTCTGGCCGACACATACCCGGGTATCCCTTTCCTACTCGGGTAAATAACTGCATACCCGAGAATCCCCCTTCCTTACTCGGGTAAATAACTGCATACCCGAAAATTTCCCTTCATTACCCGGGTAAATATTCAACATTTGTAAGAACATATTTATTTTGCGAAATATACCCGGGTATGGAGAGGAATACCCAGGTATCTTAATGGTCAACGATTAAACAGAGGCAGATTGATGTTATGTTTGTTGAAAAAGTTAAATTTTTGCAATAGTTTATAAGTAAGGTCAATTATAGCTTACTTGAGTGAATATTCAACATTTGTAAGAACATATTTATTTCGCGAAATATATTCGGGTATGGAGAAGGATACCCAGGTATTTTAGTGGTCAACGGTTAACCAAAAATAGATTGGTGTTATATTCGTTGAAAAAGTTAAAATTTTGCAATAGTTTATAAATAAGGTCAATTTGATAATTATTTATTAAATAAGGACTACAGTGGTCAAAAACCCGAATAAAGCTATATGTGCACGTGTGTGATGGTATTGATTATTGTTATTATTATCTAATTTTTTTTATCTCGTAAGCTATATAATATGATATTTGACGTAATTTAAGATTTTATGAAACTTATTTTTACCTTAGTTTATTATTTAATACCATATATTAAATAATACGAAAAATGTATATTTAATTACCACAATCATAAACAAATGTATTTACAGCTTTTGTAACTTTTAGCTCGTATTTTGTTAACTTTTCCATATTAAATGAAAAAGTTTCGTTCGACATTGGACTAAAAGTTATTAAATGAATATCTGAAATCATTTGATATTATGAAAATTAATTTTTTGGATATGATGAAGATTTTTAAAAAGGAATTTAATATTCATTTTTATTACTTATTAAGACGACGATGGATAATAAATGCTTGATAAATGATTATTAATTAAAGGGTAAGGTTAAAAAAAAAATCAAATTTTCAAAAAGGATAAAATTGAATTCAGCACGACAAGAGAATACGGAAAAAGTTGTAGAAGGTAAAGGTCCATTTGGAATTTAAAAAACACCGTTCCTATTGACTCATCATTTGCGTGGTTGCGTGTCCCTTCTTATGGAGCTTTGTTGCGCGTCGCCGCCACCCCCAAACATCGCAATCCACCGTCCTCATCCTCCGTTTTCACCGTTCCTATCTCCTCAATTTCACCTCAAACCCTAATTGGCCCCACTCTGCGCTCAATTCCAGTTTCCGAAACCATGTTTTCTTGGAACATTGCGAAATCGGCGGAGTCCATGTTCTCCCGGTGGGCCATGAGGAGGGTTTGCAAGTTCTTCCTTAAGAAGAAATTGGGGCAGTTTATTTTGGGCGACATCGACCTCGACCAGCTCGACGTGCAACTCACACAAGGCACCATTCAGCTCAATGATCTTGCTCTTAACCTCGACTTCATCAACGCCAAGGTAATGCTCGCGTTTTTTGTTTCCCCCTTTTCCTCAATTTTGTTCCGTATTAGGAACTTCCGAGGAGAAGATATTAATGAATGGAGTGAGATGTGGTATATGTTTCCCCTTGTTTGACATGAGTTGCCCGAGGAATAAATATGATTAGATTAATTGTAATGGAAGAAGATATGTGGAGGTGAATACATGAAATACCGTCAAGATTATTTTTTTATTGATGGTGTTCTCAGTTGGAAATTACCAAAAGTAAATTTTTTGTAACAATAACTTATTGCTTTCCTCTGCTCATGTTTTTACAGTTTAGCAAGACAGCATCCTTAATGATCAAAGAAGGATCAATTGGCCACCTGTTGGTTAAAATGCCTTGGAGTGGTAAAGGTTGTGAGGTTGAAGTGAATGAGCTTGAACTCGTAGTTTCTCCATGCACAGATAAAATCTCAACTAGTGGAGATGAAACTTGTGGTTCTGAGGATAATGATAATCGCCACCTCAAGAATACCTCAACTAGGACTGAGCATGAAATAGCAGATGATGCTCTGAAGTCAACGTCTATGGATGTTCATGAAGGTGTGAAAACTATTGCAAGGATGGTAAAGTGGTTGCTCACAAGCTTCCATGTGAAAATGACAAACGCAATTGTTGCATTTGATCCATCTTTAGACAATGAAGAGAAAAAAACACAGTGTCATCGTACCTTAGTTCTTCGAATTTCTGAAATACAGTGTGGAACGAGTCTGTCTGAAGATACTGACTCAAATGTTGATGTCCTTGGAATAAGCCAGTTAACAAACTTTGTAAAGTTTCATGGAGCAGTACTTGAGCTTCTCAACATAGATAATGAAGATAACCAGTCATCCTTTCATCATGTACCAGGAGACGGGTGTGGTGAACCTGTTTTGGGGTCTAATAAAGCCACATGTCCAATCATGACTGGGAAGCAAGGTGGTGGATTTGGTGGAAATGTAAAATTAAGTATTCCTTGGAACAATGGTTCTTTGGACATTTGTAAGGTGGATGCAGATGTTTGTGTTGATCCTATAGTGTTAAAATTTCAACCCAGCACAATTAAATGGCTCTTGCAGTCATGGGAAACTTTTAAGAATCTGAACAAGGATGGAAATGGTTGCTTGAATCACAACGTAGGAGGTTCTGCCATATTGAATTCTACATTGTTATGCCATCCATCAGCTTCAGTGTCTGTTCCCAATGCCACCAGTGAAATGTTAACTGGTCATGGTAGTTTGTCGGCTGATTGTGCTTCTCTGACCCAACCAGAACCCCCTACTGAAGCTTTGTTTCCCGCGGCTCATCTTATATCAGATTGGGTGCCATATTCTACTCATATTAAGCATAAGGATGGTATTCAAGAACTTGATTTTGGGGCAAGGTAAGTCCTTATTTTTCCCCTTTTAAATATCATCATTGTTAGAGAAGAATGTAGTAGAAACAAATTGCAGTTAGAAATCCTTCAGAAGACTTCAACAATTATGAAAATCTTATTAAGTTTGACCAATTCACTTCACCTAACATTCTCATACTAAAATTTTCCCTTTTGTGCCATCTTATCAAATAGTAGATATTCCTCTGCTGCTTTTGAATTAAATATTTGCTGTCAATTGATCCTACCCTCCCAAAGAGAAAAACAGAAACACTCTGGTTGAAATTTCTATGGCATTCATAAATCGTCGTCATGAACCAACTATCCCAAAAGCTTAAATTGGTAGGTGAAGACACATGAGTGATTTTATATTACATCTTTAACATGCCCCTGCATGCCCTTTGGGCTTGAAGTTTGGACAGTGCACAAGTCCATCTACCTTATGCTGAAATTAAACTTTTTATTGGAGTATGGGACGACAATGATCAAACTCTAGACCACTAAGGCTTTGATACCATATCATGAACTGACTATCCTAACAACTTAAGCTGTTATGTAAAGACATATATATGGTTTTATATTACATCTCTACGAATCTCTACTAGTTGTATGTGTTACAAATGAGTTTAAAATTTTTAACATGCTAGTATAACTCAAGTTCACTGTATTATCAATTAAACTTTCTTTACGGAAATTTTCAGGTAATTTCACTAATTTGTTTATTCATGCAATCTTAATATTCACAATATCCCCATAATATTATTACTTCCTCAAGATAGCTATTATGTACATGAGAGCTAAATCAAATCTTGTATTTTTAGCATTTTATAGGTCTTCCTTACATTTATTGACTGATTTATCAGAGGTTTGGATGCTGTTGATAATTCTGTCGTTATGGGAAATCCTGCAGTGTGGACCAGTTTTTTGAATGTTTTGATGGAATGAGAAATTCTCAGTCAGCTTTAGGGAGCAGTGGAATGTGGAATTGGACATATTCAGTTTTTAGTGCTATTACTGCCGCATCCAGCCTTGCTTCTGGATCTTTGTATATTCCATCTGGTACTTGACTTCTCAAGATATTATTTTTAGTAGTTATCATGGATCCTTTATATCTTAAATTTTGTTTGCATTATGCTTTTTTATTATTTTTATGAGTTTGGCTTAGAACTTTTTGTATGCAGTTTATTCTTGCATATTTCATTTTATGATGTCTGAATACTGGCAAATATACTGGAGACTTCTGTTTCTAACGTTTTTGCTGAACTATTAAGCATGTAGAACATATGATGTTTCCTTTTGATAGTTTATTTGTTACTAACTTGTCTTTTATGACATTAATCAACAGAACAGCAACATGTGGAAACCAATCTCAGGGCAACTTTTGCTGGAGTATCTGTTATTTTGTCTTTCTGTGATGAACAGAACCATTTTTATGACCCTAAAATTAACAAGATGGTTGGATTACAAATTGATTATCTTGGTGCAGAGTGCAATGAAATCGTTTTTTCTTTGGAGGTAAATCTTGATTCTATGCTTTCTCCCCAATCCCCTTGTGTTCTCCTTATCCATGGCCTTCATCTTTGTGAGATCTATCTACCTATATCTGCTCTTTACTACTTCATTTTGAATAAACTCGTCCGTTCTAACTTTGAATGCATTGTAATCTCAACAGGTACGTCCTCAAGGTATGACTTCTAATGTAATGGTGAAGCATGTAGAAGTTGCTAATTTCTTGAACACTGGAATTGATGCTAAAAATCAAAGTGCTTTGGTTCAACACCTACAAGCTAATGTCCTTGATGCTCTCCCTCTGTCTACTTCTTACAATCTAGATTCAGATTCATTAATTGGGTCAGTTGTGACAGATTTTCCATTTGGAAATAAGGATTGCTTATCAAAAGTTACATTGTTTAGAACTTCTGGTGTTACCGATTGCAAATTTACTGTGCAATCTAGTTCATCAGATGGTTGTCTGACTGGGCTGACATCATTCTCACTGAACCTTCCCCCATTTATTGTCTGGGTAATCTTTTCTGTAATAAATGTGCTCATTAACCTGCTAGAGGAAGTTGGAAAGTCACTTGAAGTGCAGGATAAAGCAAAGGAAATTCTGTCTGAAGCCTCAGATAAGAAGTGTGGATCATCGCTGGGTGATGTGAAGGGAAGTTCTAGTCCCTGTGTGACATCCTTCTCCACAACAGAATGTTTGCATGGTGATATATCAATTTCTAGTGCAAGAGTAATACTGTGTTTTCCTTTTGAAAGGGAAAGAGATCATGCAACTTCGTTTTCCTGGGAACAGTTTATTGCTCTTGATTTTACTTCGTCATCACCTTCAAACAAGGGTTGCACTTCGGATGGTAGTCAAACATCAAACGCAAGTTCAAAGAAAACATTTCCTTCAGTTTCTACACAATCTCTTCAGTTGAATTTTTGTGATCTAGATTTCTACTTGATCACATCATCAAGTAATAACAGTGTTAGAATCAGCTCCTATGATGTGCAGAATGAGAAATTTTCGGCTAGCTGCTTTCTTTCTATTGCATGCAGAAAGGGTTCTTACTCTGTTGTTCGTGTAGTTTGGCAAAGGGGTCAAGTGACTGGTCCTTGGATTGCTAAGAAAGCCAGAATATTTGCTAAGCCAGAGCAATCAAGGGGCAAAGATGATATTGCAGGAAGAGGGTATGAGTTCGCATCTGCATCAACGGTGAAAGATCTGGAAGATTGGAAATCTCAAACTCAACAAGAGATGATTTTAAGCTCATCACTTCTCATACATGTCCATCTATCTGAAGTTGTGATTAATGTGAATGATTCTCAATATAAAGGCATATATTGCCTTTTACTTCAGATGCTAAATGCATTGACTTGTGTGACTTCTGAGGAAGCAATTGTTGAGAAAGAATCTTCTGTCCCACAATTATCTGTGTTTATGGAATGTGATTCTGTAGAAATTCTTATTAGTAGTGATACATCTGAGATGTTTGACAGGAGTATCAGAAGCTCAATGCAGAGGGAACTTCCTGGTCTTTGGCATCAATTCAAGCTGAAGGTTCAAAAGTTTGAGTTATTGTCTGTCACTAATACTGGTGGTGTTAAGAATGCTAATTTCTTTCGAATAACCCATGGTGAAGGCAAGTTGTGTGGGTTCATCACTGGAGTTCCTAATCATGAGTTTCTTCTGATTACTTGTAGCAACTCCTCTGTGAAGCGGGGTGATGGAGGAGGTTCTAATGCATTATCTTCTAGATGTGCTGGTTCTGATATCATATATCTGTCTGACCCTGAGATTTCACATAATATTACATCTATAACTGTCAGTTGTGGCACAGTTATTGCTGTAGGCGGTCGTTTGGATTGGTTTGATGCAATACCATCCTTTTTCAGTGTGCCTGCTTCTAATACTAAAGATGCAGGTGATACTAGTATTTCAAAGAGGGAACAGGATCTCTCATACACAACTTCTTTTGTTCTCAGCATGGTTGATATTGCTTTGAGTTATGAGCCCTATATGAAGAATCTGGTCGTTCAGAGTCAAGTCTTCAATTCGGAGTCTGACTTTTCTTGTGTCAAAGAAGATACAGGTGAACAATGTGTTGCTTGTCTGTTGGCTGCATCCAGCTTGACTCTTTCAAATTCATCTTCGGCAGATTCAGTTGAAAGTGTTTTCAAAATCAGAGTGCAAGACCTGGGCCTTCTGCTTCATTTAATGTCAGAGCTGAATTCTCTCTGTGGCACTTATAGTGTAGAAAATCTTCAAAAGACTGGTTATGTTAAAGTTGCTCAAGAGGCTTTTATGGAGGCAATTTTGAAAACCAACTGCGGTAGTGGTCTTCTTTGGGAACTAGAATTATCTAAATCTCACCTTTTTGTGGAAACTTGCTATGATACAACTGCTTCTCTGATTCGTTTGGCTGCTCAACTTCAGCAATTATTTGCCCCTGATGTGGAGGAATCCATTGTGCATTTGCAGAACAGGTGGGTTAATGTTCAACAGGCACAACAAATGAATGAATTTAGCAATGAAAGTGAGAATCTCAGATGTGACTCCATGGCTTCAACTTCTGAACAATGCTCCCCGAAAACATTTTCGAAGGATGGATCTGGTGTAACTGGCTTGATGGATGAAATATGTGAAGATGCATTTCAAGTAAATAACAATTTTGCATGGCAATCTTATTCATTTGAATCAGGATTTTGCATGCCACTTGATGGAAGCTTAATTAAGGTTGGTCAGATGAATTTGGATGAGCCTGAAGTTCTCTCTCAGGAATTAACTTTGACTGAGTCGATGCCTGTAATAGGACCAGAAGGTAGTCACACTTCATTTCTGCAAGAGGGTGGCTTTCCAGAGATTATAGAAAGCTATTGTTTGTCTGACTTACGCCCTCTCTCAGAGCTATCTGTAGGTATACATTCTAATGAGCTTTCTAGACGCAAACTGAGGAATGTGGAACATAATAGAGAGATTGAAAGAGGAAGTGGTGGATGGTATGGAGGAACCTCTTTAAAAGTATTAGAAAACCACATTTCAGAGGAAAGTGAACAAATTGGGGTGACAAAGGCTGCAGATCCTGGCATGCTTCCATCTAATGGTAGTTCATCACATAGTGATACTTGTGGACGTGTAATTCTCAAGGAAATTGATATAAGATGGAGAATGTATGGTGGTTGTGACTGGCTTGATTCAGGCAAAAATGGACAGCATTCTGGGAGAGACACATCTGTTTGCTTGGAGCTTCAATTGTCTGGGATTAAATTTCAGTATGATTTATTTCCAGTTGGTGGACTACATGCATCTAAGATGTCTGTGTCTGTTCAACATTTTTATCTGTATGACAAAAGCCAAGATGCGCCTTGGAAACTGGTAATTTTGAAAGTTTAGTTGCTTTAAATCACATGACTTTACATCAAACATCTTGGAACTTGCAAGTTCTAGGTTCTTAATTTTTTTTTTTTGAATTGGAAGGTGCTAGGATATTATCACTCCAAAGGCCATCCTAGGGAATCTTGTACGAAAGCATTTAAGTTGGACTTGGAGGCAGTGAGACCAGATCCTCTAACTCCACTTGAGGAGTATAGGTAAGAGTGTTATAATACAATTCTAACTCTTTTTGAAGGTGATGAAAGAACCTGATTTCTTTTTTTCTTTTTTTAAAACTCATCTTTAATTGTGAGTCTGTGACTGAAAGTAAGCTAAGTGATTTGGAAGTTGCTTCAGCTTTCAAGTATATGAAGACATATAGCTAGGTCTTGTTGGCTAAAACATAACAAAATCTTGCTGTTTGACTTCTGACGTTTGCAGCCTGGTTCCACATAGCTTTACATAGCGATTAAATTGTTTATAACCTTTTTCATGGATAATAATTTCTTTTTGGGTCAGCATCTATTTGTGTTATTATATATTGAGAGATATTAGATATACTGGTGTATCTTCACAACTTGTGTCCCTCCTGATGGCGTCCTTATAAAGTTTAAAATAATATATAGGAATAAATAAGCAAGGAAGTGCTTCATACATTAATTAACTGCTTTTCTTTCTCCTTTTCAGGTTAAATGTTGCTTTTCTACCTATGCTATTACATCTACATCAGTGCCAGGTTGATTTTCTTGTTGATTTCTTTGTGAGGAAAAACTCATTGAATGATCAGTTTCCTAATAATTGTCAAGATTTGGAGGGTTCAAATTCTTTGCCTGAGAATAGTAAAGATCTTGTATGTCATTCAATTGCACAAGAGGCATTGCTTCCCTACTTCCAGGCAAGTGGTGCTCTGTAACATGATTAAATTTATAGTTTCATGTCTTGCTTGATTTTTTGAATGCACAGTATTCTGAAGTGTGCTATGAATTTTGTAATGAAATATGGAAAATCCAATTAGTAATATAGAAATCAATCCAGTTTCTGCAGTTGTCTGAAAAAATGTTATCCCTGATTCAATTCATCATATTGCTACATCTATATTGTCATTGCGTTTTGGTGAGTGTCAGAGTTCAAGAAACACTTACAATCTAAACTGCATCTTAGACTTGTTTTAGGAAATGTTAATTTGATGAGTCTTTCTTGTAGCTTATCATATTAATGTATTCACATATTAATTTTGGTTTCAGAAGCTAGACATATGGCCTATTCTTGTCCGGGTGGATTACAGTCCCAAACATGTAGATCTAGCGGCATTAAGGAATGGGAATTATATAGAGCTTGTAAATCTTGTTCCTTGGAAGGTAAATTTTGCTCTTTGATTTTTATTTAAGAATTTCTTTCTTGTTTTAATTTTCTAATTACCCATATTGCCACTCGATGGACTCTGGTGTAATAGAAGAGCACCAATTCTTGTTTATTAGTAAAATTGTCTAAAGCATTACTTGGTGGGGTGTGTGCAAGTGTCAGATAGGTGTTGTTTTTATTAAATTACAAATAATGTACGGGACATTTCCTTATATTTGTTAGTATCAAGATCTTGTTTAAATAAACCATTTTATTTTAAAACTAAGCTGGATGTGTATGTCTATTCAGATAAAAGGATTTTATATCCTGTTGCAAGTTGCAACAGCACTCCTGGTTGTGTACTCCGCTATAAAAAGACTTGTGGACCCTTTTTATTTCTGATAATTACTGTGAAAATAACTAATTAATATGGTTTGTTGCTAAAAGTGAAGCTTACATAGAAATAAAAATAGGTTGTTATTGGACTTATAATATTTTGTACATTGTCCCAGGGGGTTGAGCTTAACCTGAAACATGTTCATGCTACTGGCATATATGGTTGGGGGAATGTTTGTGAAACAACTATAGGGGAGTGGTTAGAAGATGTATCTCAGAATCAGGTATGCTGACTTGGATTATTTTCCTTGAGAAATGAGAATGTATAAATACTTTGGCCGTCATTTATAATTTTCAATTTGTAGATTCATAAAATACTGCGGGGGCTTCCTACCGTACAATCATTGATTGCAGTTGTGACTGGTGCTGCTAAGCTGGTTTCATCACCAGTAGAGAACTACAAGAAGGAGCGGAGAGTGCTCAAGGGTATTCAGAGAGGTAGGTTAGAGTGATAGATATTTTTTCACTAGTGTATCTATATAACTTGTGTATATGTCTGGGTAAAAATGTAAGCAACAATAGCAGAAGTTTATCAAAATATTTATTTGAGATATCTGTTGGTACTGCTAACATTTTTGAGAATCAGTCCCATACATATTTATTTAGATATTGCGTCACTTATGGCTGTCATTATCTAAAAGTAAAATAAAATAAAAAACATTTTCCTTCTTGATGAAAGATGGAACTGTTATCTTCTTTTGTTTATCACTTTTATCTTCATATGTAGATTGTTTGGTTTATGTTCTGAACCTCTAAATTCTAATGTTAATTTGAATTTTGTCATACTCTGGATCAGTTTTCATAGCAATATTAAAAAATATTTTTAGGGACAATTGCTTTTCTTCGAAGCATTTCTCTTGAAGCTGTTGGACTTGGAGTTCATCTAGCTGCTGGAGCCAATGACATTCTACTCCGAGCAGAATATACCCTCGCAAGCATACCTTCTCCAGTTCCTCTGCCTGTAAAAGATAAATCAAAGACAGACGTTCGATCTAATCAACCTAAAGATGCTCAACAAGGAATTCAACAGGTGAAGTGTAGAACATATTGAGAACGATATATTGCTTTATGTTGTCTCTTTTTATGCATGGGCCATGGGTTTAAATAAAAGGCCAGAAAAAACATGCATTGGGTAAATGAACATGATGAGTAATTTGGAGTTGCCTTTAGCAAATTTTGCACTAATGTGTGTGTATAAATATCACTAGACTTATTGAAACCATTTGTTCATTGTTGGATAAGTTGTATGACGTACTGTATGTTTAAATTTCAATTACTTAGCAGTTCCTTGTACATAGGAAACATGGATGTTTGGACAATAACAGAAATTCAATGTGATTGCATCATGCTTTTTAATTTGTTTACTGACTATATAAAGGTTATCTTTCTTTATTTTACAGGCTTATGAGAGTCTCCGTGATGGCCTGGGAAAATCTGCTGCTGTGTTAGTTCAGAACCCCTTGAAAAAATACCAGCGTGGTTCAGGTGCAGGACCTGCCTTGGCAGCTGCTTTTCGAGGAGTTCCTACAGCTGCCATAGCTCCTGCGTCTGCTTGTGCAAGTGCTGTACACTATACTCTTCTTGGATTCAGAAATAGGTCCGTGATAAAGTTGACTTGATTTTGAATGATTCATTTCTGGATTGACAAATTCCTGTTTTGTACCTCTTGAATTCTCTGGAACTAGATATAATGAAGTTTTTTTTTTCCCCTCCCCCTTTGTAGCCTTGATCCCGAACGTAAAAAGGAGTCCATGGAGAAATATTGTCCAACACAACCCTGGGAAGAAGACTGATTAATGTTGCCACTTGTGGCATATTACTTTGTTGTTGTACTAAAATGGCATTACAATTGGAGCTCTTTTTAATCTGCAGGGCAGTCTCTCGGGTATCATGTGAGTTGAGCCTTCTTTGTTAGTAGAAGATAAGGAATAATGCTCTTTATCAATTGAAGTTTTTTTTTTTAGTAGACTTTATCAATTGAAGTTAAGAGGATGAGAAAAAATCTTTTGCTTGTTAATTTTGAACGTCGTTGTTAGATGATATGATGGCTACTATCAAGCTAATATTTCTTTATACCATTCTCATTATGATCATCAACTTTCAATTAGCTTTATGATATACCTTTGTATGAGATACCTTGATGTTAACTGTTAGAATATCATAGATCATGTATAGAATCAATTAGAGGATCATGTAAATAAGGAAATGAATCCTTGTAATTATTTTCTCTATTTATATATATAGAACCTTGTGTGGTCCAATTGGAGACATAATTTCTCTCAATAATCAAGTGGTATTTAAGCCTAGTTTGGGAGACTCTGCTTTTGCAAAAGTTGTAGTTTTGTTTGCCCACTTCTCAACAACCATCTTCCTTGTTGTGCCTCAATACTGATATGCCTTTTCCTTGCCATGTGTCCTTTTAGTAGTCTCCTTTCGTGCTGCGCATCCTTATGGCCACCGTTTGATGCTGTCCATCTAATCTTCAGTGATCGCCGGTCGTTTGAGAATTTTCTGGCTGTTGATCCCCAGATCCAGTTTGCACCCTCCCGATCTGTCAATGCATGCAAGACCGGCGACCAAAGACCACTGCAGTGCTGCCACGATCCTCGGCTTTGAAATCTTGCTCCAAGTCCGTGGATACGCCACTCGAGTCTGGTCAGCCATAGATCTAATTGTCTCCCCAAGATTGGCTTTTTTTGGTGTCTCTGGTCGTGGGCCCAACATTTTTGGTGTTTTCCGGTGATTTGTCCTTTGATTTCATTGTTTCCAATGATTTTTTGGTGTTCTAGGCCCAATCCATCCAGATTTGGACCTTCCTGGTTGTGGGCCCTCTCCTTTTGCCTTTTTCCAATAACTTTCTAGCATTCTAGCCCTCTTCTAGCACTTCTTCTAACGTTCTTCCGCCGATATGGTAAAGCATTTTTATGGGGGACTCTTCCTCTGTTGTTTCTGAGACTTTTTCCTTTGACGAAACATGACAAGCCAGCCTCTGCATACTTTGCTTGGACCGAGTGAACATCACCTTATGTTCCTTATATGGTCATTCCCAGTGCAGACTATATGAGGCCTTCCTGCGGAGTGCAGACTATATGAGGCCATCCTACGGTTTAAGGCCATTTCCAAGCCTCCTGTAAAAGAAATTGGTAACCTTGTTGTTGCTTGCATTTCTTAGTCATGTCCAAGAAGACCATGAACGAGATCTGGAGAATTCGTTACAGAACATGCCATTAGGGAACTACTCACAACAAGATGGTAAAGGGCTAGTGGGAACTAGGCGCAACATGATGGTAAAGGGCTCGATATGGGAAGGACGATTGGAGTCAGTCGTGAGTCACGAGTCCTTTACCATATTGCTGCGCTTGGTTCCCCAACGACATGTTCTATAATGGATTCTCAATATCTCGTTCCCCAACGACATGTGCAAACTCCGCAAATCATTTTATGGTTTGAAAAAATCGCGGCTTGGTTTAGCTGCTTTAGTTCAGTTGTTAAGGCACTTGGCTTAACTCGTAGTGAAGCCTATCTAGTTTTTATCAGCATAATTCTCATAATTGGTGCATTTATCTCCTTATTTATGTCGATGACATTGTCAGCACTAGGAAAGACCAGTTGGGATTAGACAACTAAAACAACGCTTGTTCAAATAGTTTCAGACTAAGGGTCTTGGTAAGCTTTGATATTTATTATGCATTGAAGTGACACAATCTAGACATGTCATCTCCATCTCCCAGAGAAAGTATGGCTTGGATATTTCGGAAGAAACTGGTATGTGTGGGTGCAAACCTATTGATACACCTATGATCCTAGTGTCAAACTTCTACCAGGGTAGGGGGAACCACCGACAAACCTTGGTCGTTATCGAAGGTTGGTTGGGATGTTCAATTATCTTGCAGTAACAACCAGATTTTTCTTTTGCAATGAACATGCTATTTCTTTTGACTCCGTGAGACTCTATTAGGATGCAGCTATCAGGTTTCTTCGATACATCAAAGGAAACTAGACAAAGGCCTATTATATGAAAATAAAGGGCCTATGGAGATTTGTAGTTATACAGGTGCTGATTGAGTAGACTTTCCCTTAGATAAACGCTCTGCTTCAAGCTACTGTACTGTCTTTGGGGGAAATACGATTTCTTGGAATAACAAGGACCAAACCATAATGGCCAGATTGGGTGTAGAAGTTGAGTATCGAACAATGAGAATTGCAATTTGTGAGCTCATTTGATTAAAACAGTTGATCAAACAATTAAGAACCTGTGAACTTACAACCCATGGAACTAATTTACATTCAGGCGGCATTACACCTGTCCTAAAACCCAATTTTTCATGAAAGAACCAAGCCTATTGATATTGGTTGCCATTTTGTCTCAGAAAAGATTCAATTTGGGGAGATTGAAACCACATTTGTTAACTCCGATGATTAACTTGAATATATCTTCACTAAGGCTTTTAGAGATCGTCCAGCCAACTTGTGACAAACTTATATATGCAACACCTTGAGGGAGGGAGTTAAAATATTGTGGGAGATCATGTATAGAATCAAAATTAGAGGATCATGTAAATAAGGAAAGGAATTCTTATAATTATCTTCTCTGTATTATTTATATAGAACCTTGTGTGATCTCATTAGATACACAATTTCCCTCAATATTCAATTATAACCATTAATTCTTGAATGTTGCTTTTGGAGATAGTACTTTTAGGTAATAAAATCATTTCTGAAGATCTATGATTTCAGTGTCTTATTTTGTAAATTGAGTTCTTATTTATGCTTAAAGTGTTATTTGTTTCTCATTTCCCTATTCTGAATATGTGCATTTGCTGCAGATGTACGGTAACGGAACCAGTCAGCTAATTCTTTTCTATCTGAGTAATTGTATATAAGTGTAAATATGGATGGTGCTTCGTATTCATATTCTTATTCAAAAGTGCGTTATTGTAGGTGTAGTGACCCCATTGGTGTAGTTAGATGTACATATCATGTCATTCTTTGAAAACCTTGATTTCTATGTATATTGCCTTTTATTTATTGTAAATAGCGTATCGAGTTTATTACTAGAGTTCCAATCGTTAAATTTTTCTTTGTAATTAGTACCAGAACTGCTGATAATGGCATAATAAAGAGTCTTTCAATGATTTGGCTACTAATATGTTGTTTGTGATTGCAAGCTGTGTTTTTTTTCCATAACAATTAAGAAATATTCATTTGTTGCTGATTGCTTATTAGCGTAAGTTAATTCAGACTTGTTTTCTCTGTGGATATTTTACGCTAAGTAGAGATACTATTTGTATCAAATTCCTATTGACTTCTTGTTATTGGCTCTTGGCCATACTATTGAGCTTTGGCTTCAAATTCGTGTTTCCAACGAAAATCATGCTTCGCCAGAATGGCGAGACAGGTTCATCAGCTAGTGTATTAATGAGATGTGCTTTGGTCAATTGGTAAAAAGGAATAGGCTTCTTATGCCTCATTTAACATGAACATTAATCTGAGATAATTTTAATAATGATTATTATTTTTTCACTCTTAATCTTTATTGTTGGATTATGTATAAATCTCTTGGATCGTCTCACATAAATTATGTTTACGAAATGTGGGGAGTTGAAAATAAGCGTAAATCCAGAAATTTCCGAATAGATTAACCTATCAAACTGTTGCTGAATCCATGGGCAGCCAAGAAACAATTTAACGAACTGAAACGTTTTAGTAGTTAGAGGAAAAAAAAAGCAAAAAAGATTTGGTTTCGGAAAAGCTATATAACCGTTGTGCTGCTAAGCGAAGTTGTGGAGTACTGCACCTTGAGAATTTATTTTCTTTAAAATGTGATATTAATAAAGGGATTTGCATTGATCATTTAATATGATCACAAAAAGTTTCTTACACACAACATTTCGTGGAACCCACATGTTTTGAAGAAAAAAAATAAAATTATGACACGCAAAACGAATCTCTATAACATAACAAAATCATTTTTTTTACAACATAACTCTTATAAAATCCATTAATAAAACAAGAATGAAGTGCATGGTTATCCCAAAGGCGTATAAGAAAAAGTAAGCGTTCCAGCTCATTCTGCTACTTACGTAAGAGGGTGAAAATAATATATTCGATAAAATATACTTTATCCCACTTGAATTATAAACTTGTATTAACTAATCTTTTGAAATTTTTGTTTTTCTAATTTTTAGTGCGCGTCATAAAACGGATCCCACGTAATATGTTCCACACTAAAATTAACGTTTTTTTTTTGTCAAAATGAAAAGGGAAAAACTACTCTTATGCTACATGTGATAACTTTATTTCTTACACGCTCTTGCTATATTTTTCTTTTCTTTTATTTTTATTTTTCATGTGGTAGAGCCCACAAATTTATTTCTATGACATGAGGTAACTTATCTCCTTTAACATGAGATTAATAAAGTCCTTAAGGATAATACTTCTCTCATGAGAAGTTTTTTTTCCTACACTAACAAAAAATGTGGAGCCCACAAGTTAAAAAAATAAAAAATAAAAAAAATTACAGGCACATCTTTTTATATTTCAGTGACATGAGATAGTTATCTCCTACCGTTAGAAAAAACCATTTCCCAATCTTTAATTGCCCAAATTCCCATGGAGTGATCATGCATCATGCCTAAATGTGACGTGAACGTGAGATTAAAAGCAGGTAACTCTCAAATGTGACACACAAATGTGACATTCCTCATTTTTGCCTACTAAGGGAATTTGTTAGAGAAAGGGTCGAAAATCAAGATGAAGAAATAAAGATTGATAACATCAAAGAAAGAAATCATGTTGAATTGCCCCAAAACAGTACACTTCCACCCAATAGAATTCTGAAAACCATTAAATCCACAATACGAGCACATTTTCGATATAGGTACTCCCTTTCCTGAAATAGAAAAGAAGAGATATATGAAAAGAAATAATGATAAAGGTAAGGATAATATAAATATATATATATTTTTTTATATTTGATAAAAAGATGTACGAGTGTTCCTTATATTTGATGTATCAAAAATATTTTCCCACAATACATAAAGCAAGCCCTAAATACAAATGTAACAAACCCCTATGCATCAAATCACACACAACCCCAACACAGCTCAAATCAGGAAATCAAACCCATGCAAACAACAATAAACATCATTTTTAATCCTTGCAACCTAAAAAAAAAACATCAATTCCCTCGTAAAAAATAAGAATCAATATACAAATCCTATTTCTCGGCAACTCGACTACAACTGAATCACCAAGCCTCTGCCATTTGGTCAACACCCAATATCATAGAGGAGTAGAATCTTCATCATTCCCATTCAACCCAAACACCTAGAGCAACACCTGCTGTGAGCCACTGCAACCAGAAGATCCACTATAGTTAGAGTTGCAAGATATACACATTGACTTGATGCATTTCGTCAGTGATAGCCACTGCCCATTGCACCATACACATTGACTTGATGCATCCAATTTAGATCCTGAGGAAGCATTCGATGTTACAGACCCTCTCCATCTTCCTCTCCACCCTATCTTAAATCTCAAAAATGTTGATTTTATGTTCCTTTTGTTCATGTAGCATTTCCACCCTCTCCATGTTCTTTTCCAAAATTTCAGTCTTTTGCGTCCAAAATCCACAAAGGAGGTTAACCTCTATCTGATTCAACGGAGAATTTAATAGTTCCAACGTGAAACAAAGGTTAGAGGGGGTTAAGCAATGAAAAAAATTTAAGTAGTGTTAAATGATACAAATGTGTATTTCTATAAAATTTAAAAACGAGTTCTTTGATGGTTGGCTTGTTGAATAAATAAACTTAATTTAGTTTTTGGTTCATTGGGCTTAGTATACATTTAGCCCAACATCTAGAATTATACTTTAGGAGTTAGTTTAACCCAAGATTTAGAAATTTCTATTCTAGTCAATTCCATGAAAGTTCTAGAGGGTAGTTGCACATACCATTATTAACAAGGGTAGTTGCACCTACCACAATTAATATTTGTGCTAGGCTAATATAGAAAACTCTAGAATTATTTGGAGCCATTGTTTTGTGGAGGTGCTACTAGTATAAATAGGGGTCATCTCCATCATTTTGTATCAAGCCAAAAGCCAAAAAAAGGGTTGTGTAGCAATAAAAGTGTTCTCTTCCTCCATATCTTTCTATAACCTTTACTTTTCTCAAAAATCCTCCTCCCAACAAAGTGGTACCAAAGCCAAGTTCGATCAAAGAGGTGAATTAGAGCCCTCGATCTGGGAGCTATGGTGAAGAGAAGTGCTAAAGCACTGTGAAAGGAAAAGAAGAGTTTCAAAGCCAAGTTCTGGGAGTCGTGGTATCATTCGAGAAAAAATGGAGATTCCAAAATTTTATGAAAATGAAGGAGATGATGAAGCCTCAAGATGGTTAATTCTCTTGAAAGAATATTTTCAGGCAGAGAAAATCGATGAAGATGCAAAGTTGATGGAAGCTGTGAGAAGACTAAGAGGAAGCGCGTTTAGTTGGTATCAAGAATGGTATCAAGGATGGATATGGTCCAATCTTGATGCAAGCTGGAAGGACTTTGAGAAGGCGTTTAAAGCAAAATATCTACTTGAAGTTTGTTTTGTTGATGATGACACATAATCAAGTAGCCTAGAATCAGAACTCGATATCCAAAATAAATTGCAGTCAAAGATATCAGAGACTGTGAAAGAGGAAGAAGAACAACAAGAAGCTGAAGCTGATAATATTGATGATATGGAAGAAGATACAGAAACTGTTGAGGGGATAAATAAATCTGCTTCGACGAAAGAAAATGAAGAAAAAAGAGGAGGAGAATGTGACAGCAAGCGTAGTGGTGATCCTAACGAAGTCGATGATGATGATGAGGAACGTGAGAAAGAAGAGGATTTGGGAACAGAGTACCTTGTTTGCTATTTAGGCACTGCTGAGGAAGAGGAAACAGCTAGTGATTTTGAACATAAAATGAAGTCAAGGAGCAGTAGCAACAAGTCAGGGGGAGTACCAACAAAGAAGACAACAAAGGAGAAATAATTCTAGTAAAAGAAAAACAAACTCTCATTGATGTGCCAGAAAAGCAAAAAAAAAAAGAAGATATTATGGATAATGAGCAAAGTGAAAAACCAAAGATTACTTGATCAAATTTAGCAGAGATCATGCATGTATCAGAGACGCCACAAACACCGATAAAGATTTTTTTATCTTCCACCATTCTCGAAGCCACCAGACAAATATGTTTCACAAAACATGTTTTATGCAAAGTCAAATTTGAGGGGAAGTGTTAGAAATCAAGTCTAAGGGGGTGTTGAATAAATAAACTTGATTTAGTTTTTGGTCCATTGGGCTTAGTATACATTTAGTCCAACATTTAGAATTATACTTTAGGAGTTAGTTTAGCCCAAGATCTAGAAATTTCTATTCCAGTCAATTCCATGAAAGTTCTAGAGGGTAGTTGCACTTACTATTATTAATAACGGTAGTTGCACCTACTATAATTAATATTTGTACTAGGCTAGTATAGAAAACTCTAGAATTATTTGGAGCCATTGTTTTGTGGAGGTGCCACTAGTATAAATAGGGGTCATCTCCATCATTTTGTATCAAGCCAAAAAGTCAAAAAAAAAGAAAAAAAGGTTGTGTAGCAATAAAAGTATTCTCTTCCATCATATCTTTCTATAACCTTTACTTTTCTCAAAAATCCTCCTCCTCAGTTAATAATGATTTTGTATCAAATATATCTATTTTTTCTTCAAATTCTGGATAATTACTATTAAAAAAACAATTATTATGATTAGGAATATAAAGAAATATACCCTGAATCTTATTTATCAAAATGTGATTTTTTGTGTAAGTTTCATTTGACATGGCTTGGCCTGTTCCTATATTTTTGAGTTGCACCACGCTGAAAGTTCCAAATGTTGATGAGTAACATTGCAATTCATTATTATAACAAGGAAAGAGTTAATATAAATGTTACTTACATTTGATATAACTTTTTTGTAGTAATTTATCGTAAACAAGTGCTAGAATGTCTGAATTGTGCCTTCTTCCTGAATGCAGTTTGGTAAGACACGGTGGTGGAACTCACCGCTCATATCATGAAATTATTGGCATCAATGAATGCATATGTCAGCCAACATTTTGCTTGTAAACCTTGACATTTCTTAATACAACACTTTGGTTGTAAAAGTTGAAATTCAATTTTATTACGCAAGTTTTATGTTGAATGTATTTTTTTTTTTCCTTTATTTAAAGTTATACCAGTGTTTATTATTCTTGAGAATTTGAATTTTATTAGGGATGATACTAATTGAATATCTTTTCCAGAAAAAGAACTAACGTTGAACTTGGAATTGAATTTCAAAGGAGTCCTTCACAAAAAATTAGCCACCCTACTAGTTCCTCTATTTTGTAACCTGTATGCGGAAAATTTTAGTTCTGTTGTAGTAATAAAAATGTGGTACTAATGTTATTCATTTTTATTTTGTCAAGTATAATTAAATTTTGCAGTTTTTAAAAATGTACAAAAATGAACTCTGTGTCTGTGTCAATATATTTATAATCATGACATTATCAATAATTTCTCATGTGCTCGCTTGCTCATATGAAAAATCCTTAAAAACTGCATTTGAATTTTTCCCCCTCTTAAATTAGATTTCACATTCAAGATTCTAAAATATTTGAGTTCTTTGTTGCATAAAATGTTAAAATTATTACAACTTCTTTTGGTCCATTTAAAATATAACAATTTGATACTTGTTATTCGTATTTCTATAGGTAAACCCGAAGTTGGTATCTTATACTAGAAACCTTGTATAGTTGTGTTAAAATACTATCATCAAATTTCTTACTCTATGTTTGTGGGAACCAGTGTTGCGAACTGAACGGAGATATCTGACGTTAAAAGCTGATTGTTTGTTGGGAATCCTTGAGTTTTCTGCTTCCCTTCCACTGCATATATTTTGTACAAGGCAGTGTCTATTTTTTTTTTTTCAAACACTACAAGCTTCAACTATCTTGGCTTGCTCTTCTGAGTAAATTATTCAGACTTTCTCTTCACATAACTTACTCTCCTAAGTAAGTCATTTCTCTTTATGTTTAATATCCCCTTCCTTAGAAATAAAATGTAAATTAAGCAGAAAAGAAACTCGCTTAGATAATATCAAAGCCAAGAGTATATTGGGGAACTTGCTTAGAAGCATAAGGAAAAGCTACTTGATAACCAACAAGCACAAAATAACTAGTCACTATATATCAATCAAAGGCCACAACTACAGGATGTACTCCACAAAGAAATACTCATTGACTCATGGAATTTCTTCAACTGCAAATTTTTGTACAAAGATCAAAATGCTTAAAGTACTGTCTTTCCTACTACAAAGGTGGGGAACATAACTTAGGTTAAATTTAAATGGTCGAAAATTAAGGGAGTCAGCACAAATTCTAACAATTAATGCCTTTAGATATTAGTAGAATACCATCCCTACTTGAGAAATGAATGCTTCTTTTATGGAGTTCACTTACCTCTGCAATGTACTCCTTCTTCATAACACAGTTCCTGTGATATATAAGAAGGGAACTATATTAAGACTGGATGTGAAAATTTAATAAACAGATTTGCTACTAAGTAAGTGAAATGAAATGAAAAAGATGGACATCTTAATCAATTACCATATTGTCTTTGCTAGCAGTCATGTCTTCTTGTCCAAAAGTTGGTCCTTTTTCATCAGCAACTCTCTGAAGAAACCCATCACGCTTATTCTTATCTTTCTTAGATGCACCCTTCCTGAGGCCTAATCGCTCCTTCCACCGGCTTGAACTCTTTGGTAATCTTGGTAATGCGTCCTCATAGTCATCATTGACAAGAAGCTCATCCCTTAAAGTCATCTTCTTATTGGAACAGTCACTCTTCAGAGGCAACAGCATGCCTTGGAAAAAGGCTTCATCTGCTGATATCATGGAATAGTTCTTGACAGAGAATTCGAAATCCGAAGAGACAGGAGCTTCTCTGTATATATTTTCACGCTTGGTTGTTTGTTGGGCAACCACAAAATCATTGGAGAAGGAGATTCTTGGGTCCATGGTTCAAGCTCATGCAATGCACTATAGATCTTGCTGCTTATAGTTGAGAGTAGTGGGAATTCATGTGACAAAACTTAATATCTTTTGTTCGTTCACTTTGAAGGTTTAATTTCCACATGTAGATGTTTGCCCTTATATAATGATGGGGATTCTGCTATGTGTGTGTATATAGTGGACATAACATGTTACTTAGATTTGTCATTTTATGCTAGGAATGTGGGTCTTTAACTTTTTTTTTTTAGTCTTTACATATGAGTACTCACTTTGTTTGCTAAAGGATATATAATTATTGATCAATATTGAAGCAAAATGTTTGCCCTTATCTTATTTCAGACAGAACTGATGCTTGACAAAAGGGGTAACGACATTATTTGCCGAAGCTTTTGACTATTGTGACCAGATGAGATCCCTGATTTAATTAATAACTGCAAACCTAAAGCTTGCCTTTATTAGTTTAAGTACCCTTGACAGGGGAATGGATGAGTACTTACGCTCTTACTGATCAAGCTTATGAGTTATGAGTCCCCTAAAACAAGCGCTATATATGCAATGCAAAGCATATCCTGTGTTTATTGGAAAGTTAAAAATTTCCTTAGAAATTGTCATTGACAATTATATTTACACATGCTTTAGTATGACTCATATTTTGTATTAGTTAATGACTCAAGTCCCCCTAACGCAGATAAAGCTAATAGAGGTTCCGTTCCTTGATGAGAGGGCAGGTCCAAAGGCCGTTTCGGCAGGGGTGTAGAGGCTTAGTATTATTGCGGGCCTAAAATTTCTTTGTGATTTGATATTTTTTAGTATTTTAGGTTTGAGTCCATGAATAACTACTACAATTTAAGAATTTTAAAGCCTATTTATTATATTTTGTATATCTGAGTGCGATGCAATATATAAGTGTCGTGAGAAAAATACAATAACAGACTTGTCAGACATAACCTGATAGTGGAGTGAACCAAGATAAACGATGTGTACTATTTTTTCCCATCTTTTTATTTTTATTTTCAATTGTGTGTGTGATTACTTTGGTCATTAGATACATATATTATAGCAAGATAATATTTAGATGGATAAAATATTAACCATTTCCTAGAAGTATTGATTCCTAGCATTTGTGAGTAAAAGGGCTGGGGAAGGAAAAGAAATGTAGTAGATGCTCATAGTCTTTGAAGTCCATGTGGGTTCGGTCAGATTATTTAATATAAGTAGCATGTCTCTACATATTCTTCTCTTCTTTTGTGAATTAAAAAAGCTAGTTGTAATCAAAAGAAGGAAACAAAATATATTACAAATTAAGTAATGAAAGACTAATTAATCATATGCCAAAGAATCTTTCAGTTGAACTATTGACCTTCACGTGTATCTTTTCCAAGTGTCCTTCACATGAAATGCCCATCCATAGTGTGAACTTGGAGTTTCTATATATATTGCTTGGCAATTGGGCTCAGGACAAATAAATGGTCGCATCCCACTTGGGAGATTGCTATTAGCAGAAGATTTAATGAAATTCACCAATAGTTTGCTGGGAGAAAAGTTAGGCCTAAGAGCCTGTCCCCCTTTTGGTCTCCTCTCCAGTTAGCAAAACTTGTCTCTTGTAATCCAATAAATGATGCTTTTAGTCCTTATTATTCTAATCTAATACATATCATATACACACTCAACGCTCGAGGTTCATTTTACTATGTCAGATCGAGAAACCCCTTAATTTACTTTTTGGGTGGCATGCATGAATCTTGCTCAAAACGTCTAACAGATAATCTCTCTGGAATATGCTATTAAAGGGAGTAGTAAACTTTTTATTACTTTGTTTAATTCTTTGAAATATGTTAGCTTTCCATTGGATTTAGTCTATAGTCGCTTAGGCAGTGGAAATATAAAAAATATTCTACCCTGACAAAAACAAAACATCTACAACTCAGATCATGTTTGATTAAAGATAAAAGAAAGAGTGATACCTGCATCATAACATGACATACTTTTTTTATAAACATAAGTTCATATTATTTTATAATCATAAACAAACCTTGACAGCAGAGGTCGAATCTATAACATCAAACATACCATTACAAAAACTGTAACCAATGATATTTGAGCTAAAAACCTCATTGGCATATACAGTGCTGTTAGAACACCATTTGACAAAAGCTAGCTTTGATAGAAAATTATTAGAGAAGTTTATATAAGCTCGCAGTTCTAGCTAGGTTAATATTTTTGTCGTGTGCACGGATGTTGCAGTTGTTGAAACCCTAGCACAAGTGATCATGGCTTCATAATTAGGGCTACTCTTAGATGAGAATCTAGTTCAATTTCCTCGAGACATTCGAATCTTTAAAGATAAGCACCACTTTATAGCCTCCACTAGGTTGGCAGAGAAATGTACAACCCTAGTTAACTCATCTGAATGACTTAGCCAACCTAACTATCAATGAATAATCAACCTCGGCTACATTCAACAGCTTCAAAGTGGAAGGGGAAATTTCCACTCGACTTTGCTTAACATATATAATCAATTGAAAGCCCATGACTCATGCCGTATTAAAATACTCTATAACTAAGCAACAAGGGAAAAGAAAAAGAAGATATTCAACTTATGGGTGTGGATGTCCAACTGGGAACCTATCCTTTCGTATTACTTTTGACATGATTTGAGAGTCATGTTCATTTCATAATTTTAATGATAAACCTTATAAAACTAAAAAGTGAAAATAGTCATTTTAATCGCTAGCAATTAATTTCTCAATAATACTGGAATTTAACACATGACATAATCACGTTAAAAATAAATAAATAGAGAACCCATTATGATGTTTAGCCTATTATGGCGGAACATGTAACACCTTGTGTGCACCCGATGTATTAACATACATATGATATTAAGCGCAACAAGTTTAAATAATTAAACGCAGAAGCTCACTTGTAGGGGCGTTCGCAGTCTGGATTGGATCAGTTTTGAAGCAAAAATCATTTGATCCAATCCCTTAGATTTAATCATTTAATCATTTATTCGGTTTGAATTTTTTTAAATCCGATCTAATCCAATTCAATTTTATTAGGTTTAGATTGGATCAGTTTTTGATTTTTCGAAAAGCATAAAATTTTAGTCATACAAATCACTAACTATCTAACTATATCAAATAAAGCTATACAAAGTTACAAACCACTGAAAAATTCAAATCTTAAAACAAAAAAAAGTCTTAAAACTAATGAAGAGTTAAAATAGATTAATAGACAATAAAAAAACTAAAACAAGATAGTTTGCTATCAATAACATATAAGATTTCAAGTCTATAAAACAACAAGATTACAAGTCACCATCTTTCAAAAATAATAAATACATAATACATTGAATCGGTTTGGATTGGATCGATTTTCACTAACCAAAACCAATAACCGATCCAACCCAATTAAAATATGCGGATTTTTTTTTTGATTTTCAGTTTTTTGATTTTCAGTTAATTCGGTTATTAGTTTTTCGGTTCGGTCACCGCGGTTTGAATCGGTTGGTGAACACCCTTACTTACTTGTAAAGTTACTACTAGTTCTAATATGAAACATGAATAACTTTTATTTTTCGTCATGTGTTGCAATTCACCAATTATTTCGAATTCAATTCATAACGTAAGATACTCTCTTATATTTCACGTTCTATTTAAAAGAAAATGAACGACATCTCCTTTGTATTTGAAGGCTTTGGGGACTATTCCCACATAGAAAAGGGTACTTAATTGACATTTTAATATGATTCATCCATATATAATCGGTCTCAAAATAATGTCCATAGTGTTACTTACATGATTACATCAACCAAACAAAAGATATGTAATTAGGTAAGTAACATAGACCGATACATACATCATTAATAATATGCATAAACTAGCAATATGGTATAGACATCTCATATGCTCTCCAAAAGAATAACATGACCTATACATCTCAAAATAATAAAGTCATGTCATGTACATAACCAAAATGGCAGGCTAAATCATGAATATCATGTTGAATAATATCCCTCTCTCGGCCTCCAGTCGTGTAATGCCTCAATACCATCACCTACTGTACCTGAAATGGTAATCCCCATAATGCGAGGTGAGATAATCATTTCAGTAAACTTGGGGTCCTTGGAGGGCTCCTCCACCACTAGGTTCACTTCAGGTATAACCACAGTATAAAATAAATGTGTGCATTAGAATATATATATATATATATATATATATATATATATATATATATATATATATATATCAATGCATGTGTGCTATGATGAGTCCTACTGGCAAGAGATATAATAAGTATGCATTACGTAAGGAAAAGCCGCCTTGCAACATACCAAACACAAGGAAAGTTGTCCTATGCTACACACATCGGACATACCCCAGACAAGGAAAGCTGTCTTATGTCGTACGAGCCATGAGGAAAGCTGTCTCATGCAATGCATAAGAAGGGCATGCCCCACACAAGAAAGTCATCTTGTGTGGTACACAAACATACATATATATATATATATATGTGTATGTGTATATATATATATATATGTATGTGTATATATATATATATATATATATATATATATATATTTATATATAGGGGAAAACATTTCTATAACCACTTTAGATAAGGTTGTCTACAACTACCCTTTTTTCACTAAGTACGACCGATCGTACATTAAAATTGCATTTTCTCTCTCCGCCATGTCAGCCGACAATGTCTGAGGAAAGAAAAAAAAAGAACAGCTTTATTGTTATAACTAAGTACGACCGGTCGTACTTAGTGAAAAAGGGTAGCTGTAGACAACCTTATCTATAGTGGCTGTAGAAATACTTTTCCCATATATATATAACAGTTCATTTTCAACATACCCTATCAAATAACCATCTTACCTCGGAGTCTGGTGGAATGAATGGGGGATTAACCCCAAGGATCGAAAGCTTACCTGTCAAGCAACGTCCTCAAATGTACTCCTTGTATCCAAGGGGTCACAACCACAATCTATCACAATG